AGCCCGTTGGTTAACCTTTCCGAGCCGCCCTCTCTGCACATGTAGGAGGGAATGCTATTGCCAGCTCAGAGCATTGTGGTGAGCTGTGAGTAAGATAGATAGGTAAAGCCCTTGGTCCACAGTGCTGTGTGGATGTACATTCCTTTTCCTTTATCACTTCCCCTATGTCCTTCCTTCTGTGAGGTCTTCTCCCTCTCACATTGGACCTCCAGCCTTGGCTTCTGAGTCTCTCATTGCTTGGTCCCATTCCCTCTAAGAGGACTTTAGTTTTCTCTCAGCTGCCACAACTCAAGGATCAAACCAGAAGATTTCTCCAACATAGAGAGCTCACCTTGCTTGGGCCCTTCCTCACTGCCCTCCCTGTCTCTGGCTGTATAAACCAGCCTGACCCACCTGCCCACCCCCAACTCATAAAGGCAGACTCCAGCCCTGGAAATTCTCTCAGAATAGCAGGTACGCAGGCATCTGGCCCAGAGTGGGCCCACTCTTTTTCTAGGTGTTTTTGATCAGTTTGCGTCTGTGAACCACCTATATCAGTATTCCCTGCTTGTTTAAAATGCAGATTCCTGGGCTCCCACTCCAGACCCATTTAACCAGAATCTCTGTGGGGGAGCCCTGGAAGCTGCATTTTCAGTAACCAGCTCAGGTGATTCTGTTGCTCTAGATTAAGGCTTCTCAGTGTATAATATTTACCCCCTCAAGCACTGGGAAGATTCTTCTGGTAAGTCCCTCACTGATCCTCCCTTTAATTTGTATAAAATTTTATTTCTATATCAAAAGATTATTTACCAAATACCTACCAAGTGAGTTATCAAGTGAATTACTACTATTATTTGGGATCTATAAACTCACATTAAAAATTTAGTCGGGTTTACAGTGGACCCCAACTCACTGTTCTCCCCGGTTGGAAGGCAGCCACGCAGCATGTGGCCATTCTGTGGACTTCCACGGGGCACATGTCCACAAAGACACTGAAGTGCCCGAAGATGTTTTTAGGAGGACTCACTGTAGTCAGAGGCCCATCACTGTCTTGAGTTGGTCATGATTTTGAACGGCTGCTCTTCTTGGTCTTTAGTGATAACTTACTGTGGGTTTGTCATTGTTGATTTAGTTTATTATGGATTATACGGTGAGCCCTATAGTACATAGGGGTGCAGAATGATACCGACACATGTGGGGCCTGAACATTCCCAATAACTAGACTTTAAGACATGTAGTTTGTTGTTAAAATATGAGTAATTTTTTTTTTTTTTGGTACGCGGGCCTGTCACCGCTGCAGCCTCTCCCGTTGTGGACAACAGGCTCCGGACGCACAGGCTCAGCGGCCATGGCTCACGGGCCCAGCCGCTCCGCCGCGCGTGGGGTCCTCCCAGACCGGGGAACGAACCCGTGTCCCCTGCATCGGCAGGCGGACTCTCAACCACTGCGTCACCAGGGAAGCCCCAAATGTGAGTAATCTTAAAGCTAAAGCAGACGTGTGTGTATATATATAAATAATCCCTCCAAAATTTGCTTTAGAATGATAGCTTATTGTAATCAGGTTGGTTTTCCATGTGGCAGTATAAAGGGCAGGGTCAGCCGGCTGCGGGCAGTCATTTAACCAGCCCTGCACTGCACACAGCTACCGTCACTCCTTTTTACTGCCTTTGCACCCTGAGCGCCCACTGTCTGCGGCAGCGCTCAACCGCTGCTCCGACACCCCCTCCTCACGCCGCAGCTCCAGGGTCCCAACTGGAGCCCTGGGTGCAGTTGGATCAAGTTAACTGCAAAACAAGACACACATGGGAACAGCCAAGAGGCCCCGCTGAGGACACGGGCAAGAAGGCATTCACCCCAGCAGCTGTGACTGCACCCAGGCTCCCCTCTGCATTCCTGCTGAGCGTCTGAGCACATCCTGTCCGCTGTGTCCATAAAAACAACCTTTGTTATCCTCATCTCAGCATTGTTTATGATGGTAAAACCACTTGGGAACAAGCCAAATGTCAACATCGGGGGGATTCATTAAATAAACCACGGTGCCATCCATACAATAGGAAACTATGTATCCATTAAAAATAACATGGAGGAAGAATATTAATAGACATGTCAGCTGGGAGCCTGTCTTTGCTCCTTAGGGGGACACCCGGAGAGGAAGGCTGGCTGTTCTCACTGCTCCTTGCAGCAGGTCTCCTGTCTCCAAAGTTCATTCTTTCCATTTCCTCTGCCTGAAGAGCCCTCTGGCCAGGCTCAGCCTATGTAAATTCTACCCATCAAAGGTAGGCAGGATAATGGCTCTCCAAAGAAGTCCATCCCTTAATCCCTGGATCCTGTAAATACCTTACCTTGCAAGGCAAAAGGAACTTCGCAGATGTAAATTAGGTTACAGACCTGAAAATAGGTTGATTACCCAGGTGGGGCCCAATCTAATCAATTTCCCCAGCTGGGGTCAGAAGAGACAAGAAGAAGAAATCACAGATATTCAAAGCATGAGAGGATTCGCCCTCACTGCTGGGGTCAGGGGTGTGGCATATGGAAAGCATGAGGAGGAACGTGAATGTCCCCTTAGGAGCAAAGACAGGCCCCAGCTGACAGCCAGTAAGGAATCAGGACCTCAGTCCTACCACCAAAAGGAAGTGAATCCGGCCAGCAACTTGAATGAGCTTGGAAGCAGATTCCTCTGCAGAGTCTTCAGAAAGGAATGCAGCCCTGCCAACACCTTGATTTTGACCTTGTGAAACTCTAAGCAAAGGAGCCAGCAGAGCCGCATGGTACCCACATATCTGACCTACAGAACTGTGGGATAATAACTCTCCTGGCAACTTTCAAATATGTAGTACAGTATTATTAACTATAGTCACCATGCTGTACATTACAAGGTGTAGTTTTAATGCACTAAATTTGTGGTAATTTGTTGTGGCAGCAATAGAAAATTAACACACCATCCTTCAGCACCATCATTCAGTACAAATGCCACTTCCATGAAGCCTTCTCCAGTTTATCCATCTATCCGTGTGTCCCCTCTGAAGTCTCAAAGCATTCTGCCCCTGAGCCTCTTCAGCCATTACCATGGTCCACCTGGGTTATATAAGTAGGGTTATTTATGTACATGTCATATTTATCCTACTAGATGATGTGCTACTCGGGGCAGCATCTGAGGCTTATTCATCTTCATTTTCCTTCCAGGGCACAGCACCTCATGTGTAGTCAGTGCTAAATTTTTCTTGGAAGTATGTTTCACAGCCTGTACGGATGGTTATTGTTTTAATAAGATGAATTACTGTGGCAATTAGGAATTGAAAATGGACCCTAGAAATATTTGTAAATATAGAAAGGAATAGCTGATTGATGATGGATACTGACAGCATAAGGAAAATTAGAATGGGCAACAGAAGGATATATGGATATGGGGATGCTTGGAATTATGCTCCGGCAGTTGGCTCTGAGATGTAAATTCATATGCAAAATAAATAGGACTGAAAGTTATCTAAAGTGTTTTAGAATATAACCTCTTAAAAGATTCAACTTCTTGGCAACATGAAGTTTTAATTAAATGAATGTTCTTCTTCTGCTTCAAATGGATAGAAATGTAGAAGAAAATGTAACATAACACCCAGCTGAGCTCAAAATAAAAAGAAAGGGACACCCCCACGTTCCAAAAAGAAGAGGGAGCTTGAAGTCAGCAAGAGCTCCAAAGAGACTTCACAGTCCCGTTGATGCAACTACCAGATGATGGAGCCTCTGTTACATTTGGTCCCTGAGGGACCGAGCAGAGTAGATCCCCACCAATATCCTTTGATGTTGACATGGGAATGAAGAAGCAGAGAAAATCCCAAGCATAATAAACAGTTAAGACATACCTAGATAATGGAATATCTTAAAATACCTTAACAGAAGAAAAGCAGCCAGTGAGAGATGTATTACCTGCAAAAGAATGACAATTTGACTGACATCAGAAAAATATATGGCAAGGACTGAGAGAAAAGAGCTGCTTACTAGAATTCAATACCCAACTAAATCATGATTTGAGGATGAGGGCAAAATAAAGACATTTTTACAAAAAAGACCGAGTTTACCGTTCAAAAACTCTGACTGAAAAACTACTAAAAGATGTGTCTCTTAATGAAGGAAATTGAACCCAGAAGGAAGAGTGGGATATAAAAGCAATGATGAGAAAACAAAGGTAAACATATGAATACAACTAACCTTTTCAAGGATAACACAACAATGACTAAAGAAAGTGTTAGAACAAGGTGAAACTACTCAGTTACAGAGATGGAGGAAGAGGGGGCATGATCAGAGTTCACGCATTTTAAGGTTCTTAACCTGTTTTGTGGCAGCATATATATTTAATTAAACATAGGCTTTTCTAAATACAGTGTGCATGTTAAAAATTTAAAGATTATCTCTAAAAGAGTAGAAATAGATTGTAGAACAAAAAACTAGTAGAGAGAGCAGGGCAGGAAGGAAAGAAATAGCTTGATTAAGCCAGTGGAAGACAATGGGCAAAAGAGAGTAAACATGGTCAGTAGAGAAACACCAAACGAAATGACAGAAATAAATCAAAACACATTATTAATCACAATTGCTGTAAATACCTTATTTTGCCAGTTAGAAAGATTCTCAAATTACATTTAAACACACACACACACCCTCATCTTATATACTATTTATAAGAGACTCAACTAAAACATAACATGAACGAGTCAGAAATAAAAGAACAAAGTAGACATACCCAGAAATGACAATTTGGAGTATGGGCCGTGGAGGAAAATTCTCACCCGTTGCAGAAGGAGGTATGTTCGAGGATGTTTCCCACAGTGTTGTTTGTAGCAGTGAAAGATTGGAAACAGCATGAACATCCACTAGTATGAGGAAGAAAAAATAAAATTTGGCATATACATATAATAAAACACTACATAACAGATAAATGGCTGAACTAGATCAAATGAATACATATTAAAAGCGTAAGGTTGAGTGGAAAAGCAAGTTGCAGAAGGATTTCACCATATGATATCATGGATGTGGGTTTTTTTTCAAAGGAAATTTTATTGAAGAGCAATATACATACATAAAAATATACACATCATAATGAACCATTCAATGAATTTTCACCAAGCGGCACACCCTTGTAACCAACACCCAGGTTAAGAAATAGAACGTTAACAAATATCCCAGAAGATGTCTCCTCCACCTTGCTCTACTATAGTTACTACCCCTGTCCAAAGGTAACTACTCTCGTAACCTCTAATCCTATAGATTGGTTTTGCCTATTTTTGAAATTTATATACATGGGATCATATACATACAAAGTGTGTATTTGTTTCCTGTCTGGCTTCTTTAATTCCATATTATGTTTGGGGGACGCATCCTGTTGAAGCATGTAGCTATAGTTTATTCATTCTCTTTGCTATGCTAGGATTCCATTGTAGGAACGTGCCACGATAATTTATGCTTTTCATTGGTGATCTACATTTGGGATGTTTTTAGTTTGGAGGTATTACAAGCAGTGCTCCTATGATCAGTCTTGGACTTTTTTTTTGGTGCATATGTGCATGCATTTCTCTTAGGTATAAGCTCAGCAATTCCTGGGTCAGGGGGTATGCAGACTTTCAGCTTTAAGTAGAGACTCTCAGTAGTTCTCCCCAAGGGTTTTACCAATTTACTTTCCTAGCTGTGTGTGAGAGTTCCAGTTACTCTGCATCTTATTCACACTTGAATTTTTAGTCTTTTTAATTTTAGTCATTCTGGTGGTTGATGGGTATGACTTTTGAAACACATTCATGCACAACTACTGTGCGTTGCCTGTGAATGAATATACATGTAATATAAAAACGTGAAGGGGGAGGATATACACCAACCTTAGAATATTGACTACCTTAAGGCAGAGAGGCAAGTCTGAGGGCGGGGGTGGAATGAAATGGAAGGCTTCAGCTGTACTTATTCATTTTTAAGCATGAGAAACAAATATGGGCAAACAAACATTTTTAGAACTGGGTGGGAAGTATATATGTGTCTTTTATTTTTCTCCATATTACTTATATTTGGTATACATTGTAATTGAATTTATTTAAGAAAAAAGTTCTTAAAGGAAAAACAGACCCTCCACAGGGAAACAAACAAATTCAAAGTGTATCTGGTTATAAACACAACACTCAAAACATGAGTAATAGACAAGATGTTCCACTTCTGTGTATAATTGTTTCAGTACCTAGAAATGCTTTAAGAAACTATAGTACAAAATAATTATGTGGGTCTGATAAAGGACTAGAAGCAAGTACCAAAGTCGAGTATCTCCATTTATAATTTTTTTGCAGGAAGGACAATTCCCCATGCTGCGGTGGATACCTCATGCATGTCCATTTAGAAATAAAATTTTCTTGCAGGGTTGGTATGATTATTCAAGCCGATTCTACAGATGAAAACACTGAGGTTCAGAGTGACTAAGTGACTTGCCCAAGAGAGAGGAAGAAGAGGAGAAGCAGAGGGGCTTGGCACACCCACACCCAGTTCCTAAATAGCCAAGCACTGCCTGAGGCATGCTGGTGCCACTGCCCAGGGCAGGTGTTCACTCCAGCCTTGGTGGGAAGCAAGGAAAGGCAGCCTCCCTCCAGTACATCACATGGACAGGAGGACCCCAGGAAATACACATCTCATGGGAGGAAGAACACAGGGCACATGCATGGGTCAGTTCAACGCTGTTGATGGCTGAGGACAATGGGCTGCACGGAGGAAGGGCCCTGGTCTCCAGCCCCGCTAGGATGTGATGGAGATGGGCAGGCAGGAGGAAAAGGCAGCAAGCCACATGCTGCCCAGACTCTCAGAAACGCGCTCTGTGCTTCTACGGCTGGTGTTCTGAGTGCATCAGAACAGTGGGAGCAGCCTGGGCACTGCTGTTCTTAAGCCCCCTCCCCCAACATTCAGGGCTCATTCTCAGGAAAGACTTCTGAGTGAGAAATCTCAGGTCTCAGGCTCAGGCCATCACAAAGGCACAGTAGGGCACTCGGAAGGGTGCTCCAGTGGGCCACCCTGGAGCAAGCTAACCGGAGGCTAGTTTGATCCCTAGGCACAAAATGGTCTCTCCCTCTGTTGGGATTACATCACCCCCTCCGGGCAGTCCTCCTGGGTGGCTTCCTCCAGTGTGGCCACACTGTTATCCTTGCCCTGACACTGGAGGATGGGTAACTCGCTCTCACCCACTTCCTCTTGCTGCTCTGCTGCCTCAGGCTGATCCAACCACAGCCGCTCAAGAAGCTCTCAGGATGTGGGTCTCTGAGTGGACCCTTGAAGCTCCCCTTCCCCTGACCTGGTGGGGGAAAACGCTGCCCCATACACAGTCTCTCTCTCTCTCTCTCTCTCCGTCCATCCCTTCCTCCCTCCCTCCTTTTCTCTTTAACAGGGAGGATATACATCTTGCTGTCTTCAAAGACATACTCTCTCTCCAATATCTCAAACTCTGTATTTCATTTCTTTATTCCCTGAGGTAGGTAATGAGCTAAAGGCAGCAAAGTCCGTTTCCAGCCAAGCCCCTCTGCAAGTCTCGCATAGATGACTTAGCCCATCATTTTGGAACAAGGGGATGTTTTGCACTTACTGTTTTGTTCCCACCTGTGGAGCTTCAGAAGGATTCCAATTGCAGCACCCTGTCCTAGAGCACAGGTGACAGTAGGGCACAGTGTTTGTCTTGGGCTCCAAGCTGTCCATATTTTCTTCCCACCCCACGTGACTAGAATTCTACCATTTTCCCCACAATCTGACCCAAAGGTTGCCTAAGAGAAGGCTCGCTTGACTACTGGATGTATGATTTAGTTTAAAGCATCTGGACCAGGAGTCAGGCAGCCTTGTCATAAGCCTGTCTCTCCCACTAAAGTGCTGTGGGACAGTAGACAAGTCAGTTACCCTCTCTGGGCTTACGATTCTTGGCTGTTAAACAAAAAGTTTGAGTTTGATGGTTCCCAAGTTCTTTCCAGTTCTAGGATGCTGAGTCGGTCTAGAAGATTGGACAAGGTCAGGGCCAGGCCAGTTCAAGGACAGAGGTGATGCCAAAAAACCCTTTGGGCGGTTCCTGACATTTCCATTCCCATCGGTGGGCTGCTTTGTTTCAGGTGATGAGATTGTCACAGGATCTGTCTCCTGCCTTGGGGGCATGTACTCCCCCAGTCCAGGATAGAGACAAAACAAAAGGACAGGTCCCTGGGCCTGGGGGGCCCCAGGGCGACGTCAAGCCTCAGCAGGTCAAGGAAGCTGCATGTTCCGAACAGCCTTGTCCCAGGATCTAAAATAGGCAGCAAAGGGAATGGTTTCCAGGCTCCCCCTCCGCTAAAGATAAAAATACCGTGGGCCCGGGGATGTTCCCAGTCGTAAATCAATCAGCTAGGACTATTTCTGTCCTTATCCCTTGCCCACGGTTCCTCCTACGACCTCCATCCATCCTGTCCTCCCCGTCCTGGCTCCCCAGCCACCTTTTAGCTGCAGTAGGTTGAAGTTCATCACTGCCTTCTGACCACAGTCCACGGCTTGGCCGTGCCCCTGTGAGAATCCTAACCTGCACACAGGCGAACAGATAGGCAATCAGGGGCCTCCTCCAACCTCTGGGAGCCTGAGTAGCATGGGTCCACTCTGACAGGCAGATGGACTCCCGGTATACGCCAGGTTTCCCTGCCTGCATGGCTCAGTCGCGGCTTGTTTTCCAGGAGTAAACGCCCGTTTACTGCACGGCTGTGGGTAGGGTTTCTCCTTCATGTCATTACAGACATTAAAGTACTACCTCTTAAGGCCACTGGGATGATTAAATGAGACCCCGTATGTAAAACATGAAAATTGGCACCTGGCAAGTTGGAGATGCTGAGAAAGTAAGACCTGCCTTCCCCTGCCAGCCATTCACCAGGAGTTCAGACCCCCACAGCTGACCCATGTCTTCTGAGAGCTCCTTTGAGGAGACTTTTTCAGTGTGAAACCCTAAATCAGCTTCAAATCCGGCTCTTGAAGAGACCTTTGAAGACACCTGGTCTATCCTGAGGCAGTAAAATCAGCTCCCCGGTAACTAACCTGCAGCAGACGCAATGCTGCTGGGCCAGCTGGAGACTATGGTCTCATGTCCAGTCTTCCACTGCCCTCTGCAGGTTGCAGTGAGATACTGCAGTCAATGCTGGCATCCCCTGTGCAACACCAAGCCCAAGGACCCTCACTTTACAGAGTTGAAGCAGTTTACAGATAAGACAACAAGGCAAGGCCAGGTGTCTGAGGAAGGCAACACCTCGGAATAGCACGGTGACTTACAGCTCACAAAGCACTTGCCTGTTTGATTTTCACGACCACCCTGCCTTGCCTCTGTTCCTAAGCTCAGAGGGAATTCAGTCATTGTTCAGCCCTGATAGACTACTAACAGCTGACAGACACATCTCAGTTTCAGGCCATGTCCTAGAACATTCCAGAAAATCAATGAAACGGACCTGTGTGGATCTCAGTGCAAATACCGGTTTTATTTCTAAAGCTCTTCAGTTTTAATCATGCTGTATAAGTCTAGAATATTCTGAAGAAAGGAATTTTGTAAGAAAGTGTGTGTGTGTGTGTGTGTGTGTGGAGATGTGAGTGTTTGGTGTGTGCATTCTCTGGCAGTGAAGGTTGGCTAATATATGGCAGATGTCAGCATCTGGTGTGATTATGATGATGAAGAAGCATTTCTCACATGCCAACCAGCTGACGGTTTCATTTATTGGTGACATCAAGCACCGGGCTCAGCTGCGTGGTTTACACTATCCCTCTCCTGTGTCCAGAACCGTGGATCCCATCCAGCAGAATGCTGGATATTTTATACAGTGAAGGCACATGACAAGGTCACACTGTCCACCTAGCACCAGGTAGTGATGAAATCACCCGTCAGAACAAGCAGAGGGGATGCTTGCCTTTCTCCTATTCTCTTTTCCAACCTCAGACACTTGGGGGGATTTAAGTCAAGTTCATGAAGCCCAGATAGCACATCACAGTAAGGGAACCAAGCCTCTGAGCGCTGCAGTTCCCTTATGTAACTGGAGTTTTTAGGTCATATATTTATAGACGTTTAGATCCAGAGAAGACCTTAAGAGATTATTCCAGTCCAATCCTTTCATTTTGCAGTAAAATGAAGCACAGAAAAGGGAAGTGACAGCCTAAGGTCACAAAGATAATTAGACACATGGCTGGGATGAGAACCCAGGCTCCTTGACTGTTTTTTCTCTGGCCTATCTTGATTCGAGTAGATGGGAACTACCGGCTTCAGTTGAAGGTTTTTAGACCTGATCTTTTTTTAATGCACAAAGGAGAAGAGGAAGAAGCTAATGCATTGTAGGTCCTCAATAACTGGGTTTGATGGCTTTTGGTGTTATATAATAATCTTACTTTATGCAGCTTAAGAAGATTAAATCCAATTAACCTTGAATTTGTGTCATTCTTTATTCTCTCCAGTGAAGTGCTTAGAGGTTTGAATCTCACCCCACTGTCCCATTGCAACTCTGAGTGTGGATATGAGGTTGTAACATGGCGCTCATTGGTTTGAAGGAAAAGCTTTCTGAGGAAGGCTCGCAGATTTAGAGTTGCTTTGGTTTACGCTTCTGGAGGTTTGTGGAAATCCTCTTTGAAGAACAGATGCTGTCAACACTTGAGGTTATACAGGCTGTCCAGTGAGTTAGGGCACAGCACAGACACTTCCTAAATCTATTTCAAATACATGATTACAACAGACATGAAATGATGCTAATTGCCTGTTAGCCACTTGGGCCTAACATTTCTGAATTTGCTTATCATTGTGTTTATAAATCATATTTTTGATCAAAATCTTCCAATGCATTCAATGTTCTTCCAAACACCATCCTGATGAATCACACCGTTGTCATCCTGCAACTTTTATAAATTCATGTTCTGCAGGGCAAGTTCCATCTTCCATGGAATCCCCAGTGTAGGATAAGAAGACTCCAACGGGGCTTTTCTCTTCAGACCTTCACAGACCAGGGTTTACAATTTTCTGGTACATCAGTGACACACTAGGAGGGAACAACAGAGAACTTATTGCAGGGTCTTCACATAGTTCAGGACACCAGTGCCAACCACCATTCCAAGACCAGACACCACTCTGCAGTCCCAGCTGTTGGGAGTGCCCCCAGGGCAGGACCCCTTAATTTCCTAGTCATTCGTTTATTTTTATTAAGCATGTTCCATGTGGTAAGCACTGTGGCAGGCTCTGGAGATCCAGGGATGACCAAATAGAGAAGTGGTCCTTTGTCACGTGACACAGTCCTTCAAAAGCACACTTGGCTCATGGATCAGCTGCTCATGCAAATCCACTGCAGGAATTTAAAATCACCTGGGTGTTGTAGCATCACAAAGGGGCTTAAGTTAGAAACTTTGCTTTAGGTCTAGGGCCTCAGAGGAGGGGCTTATCAAATCATTGAGTTCTGCATCAGATTATTTACAAGGAGCTAACTTTGCAATCTGTGTGCGCTTACTGGGAGCCATGCAGCACCTCTGCCCTCTGAGAATGGGGTTTGGGTAACTGTCAGCACTGGGGCCACGGTGGGAAGGTTCTGGGCTATGGGAAGGTTGCTGCACAGGTGTGGGCATCTCACTGCCTGGGAGCCCTGCACATGGGCTGTGTGGTCCTCACCCTGACGCTAAATCTACTGGAAAACCTAAAGGGCAGCCTGCCTGGGGACCCATCTGCCTTCCTCACCCTCAGTACGGATGGCGGATTTGCCTGTCCCCAGGGCTTCTCCTATACCCTTCCCATCCCAGGAACTCTGGGTTCATGAGTACCCACTTCATCTTGAAACCCAAAAGGCCTATCAAATTTCCTATCAAATATCCAAGAGGAAATCCAACTTGGGTATCAGGAAGAATCCAGTTCTGCTAACTCAATAGAGGCCGCAAAGTCAACTGGAGAGTCCTGTGTGTGCAGGGCCCACTTCAGCCCAACTCAGAGACTGGGCTGCTTCATGCAACAGTGGATGAAACTGTCCTGGCACAGTCTCCTTTTGCCAGGCATTGTCTCCACAAGTATCACATAGGGGCTCCCCCAAAATGATTCCAGCGACCGTGGAGTTCACGGCTACACACGCCTCCAAGGTAGTGACCGATCACCACGTAGTGCAATCATCTGGCTTCCTAAAAGGCTGCAAATTCTTCAAGGGCACTTATGTGTCCCCAGTATCAGCACGGCACAAGGTAATCACAGAACATATGTGGTCCATCTCATTCATTCATTAATTCTTCTTTTTCTCTCCGTTTCCTTAGTACCTCACACAGTGTGTTTAACAAAGAAGGGTCTCAAAAATGCCAGTGATGGACACAAAAGATTAGGCTCTTCTGGAGTTTTATCCATCACCCTCATCGTTATGGAAAATAATGAAATCTGTGGGTGATAAATGTGCATCAAACAGCCCTCCTTCCTCTCAGGAGGCCTAGCTGCAAGCTGCAGCTTTAAGGGGTTTCTTGTTATTTTCCTGCAGGTTGGAGGAGGTACCTCAACTGCATAGCAGAGGGCGGGCGTGGACCCAAGGCTTCCCAGTTGAGAGAGAGCCTACTGTCTCACCCCTCTCTCTGCAACAGAACCTTCCCCAGCCTATGCCCCGCCTCCCCAGACTGAGGGGGCATCATACCAGGGTGGTGAACTTGTCCACGCAGGCATTACGGATCTTCTCCGGGGTGGCGGGGCTGTCTAGCCGGAAAAGCTCCTTCGTATTATTATCTGTGTGCTGAGCCCGAGCTGCGCGGATGGCATCCTTGATGGCGAAGAAGATGGAGGCGCCCAGAAAGAGGGGCGGCTCCCCAACAGCCTGAGTGGACAGAGCAGAGTGTAGGCGGGAGGGCTGGGGATGCTGGGGAGCCCAGCCAGCACTAGTGGCTACATCGAGCAAGACAGGAGGAACGGTCAAAATTAATCAGAGGCCGAGAACAATCAGTGCAGTAAATGACTCAACCTTGTGGGTATATTTCTTTTAACTCTTACTACGTGATTTTCTCTGATGACACCGTGCAAATACGATGGACCATTGAAAGTTATATTAAGTAACTATATTTTACAGACAAAAAACAAATCTGACCCTTTCCTCACAGCAATAAGCCTAGGGGAATAATCCACCTGCAGCTCTGTCACCAACACTTGCAGGCATCATAATTATTCTTACAATTTGCTGAAATAGAGGCATCATGACAAATAGGAATTAAACTATTTTCTAGCAGAGGTTGTTTTATCCCCCAAAGCATAGGTCACAGACTGCCTGTATCAGAATCACTAGGGACACTTGCTAAAAACGCAGGTTCCAGGGCTGTACCGCAGACCCACCGAATCAAAATTTCTAAGGGTGAGCCCAGTGGAGCCGCATTTTTATCATGAGCTCCAACGCCCAGTGATCTGATGTGCAGTGAAGTGTAAGAGCCAATGGCAAGGATCACAAAGTATCCCAGGCCCTCCCACAGTAGAGTAAACCGTGAGATGAGCAAAGGGCTGTGTCTCACTGGTTACAGGTAATTATCTGTATCCTTCCTAGACCAACAACTGTATCAATCAGCTTGACTGATCTTCAACCGTTTTTCATACTTATTCAGAGCATGGAGGAAATAAAGGATGGTTTTAACCATCCAGGCGTGCTGATCAAGGCTTAAGGTCTAGTGGTGGACACTGAAGGAGGTGAAAGTGTGTGCACAGAGGCGCTGCCCCATGTGCGGTAAATAGGCTGATTCTCATGAGACAACGTGGGTGCTGGACCTGTGAGATCATCTCTAAGATCAAGCATTGGGGATGCACACCTGAGACGGGGGTGTAGGTCAGGATTCCACCTACAGGACTGAACTAAGGAATCCCTCGAGTGTACCCACAAGAGCTGGCTTGGACCACACAGAGGTGATGTCATCCTTGACCCAGTTCCCTATGTTCCCAGGCAGGACTGCCCACCCCTCCATCGCCCTCACCAAGACTCGTGTCAGGTCCTCCTCTCTCTTCCACATGAGCCCCCCACAGACCCACATGGCGGGTGGCTGGAGCCCCTCATCACTACCCGTGGTTTCTCACAGTATAGACTGGAAGGTAGCACAGACCCAGGGCAACAGTACCTTGGATGCATAGATGGCCTTCTTGTTGGGACAGTCACGGAGCAGGGACACTCTGAACTCAGTGGGGATACTGCCAAATGCAGGGATCTTGTAGGTGCTGGGGCCACGGGTATGCAGGTTCCCCTCAGGGGAGTAGTGTAGCTCCTCCAGGGTGAAGAGGCCCAGGCCCTGGACAAATGCCCCTTCCACCTGCAGGGCAGACAGAGACCGTGGCTACCCTGCCTTCCCGCCCCCGTCACCCAAAGACAGGTGTTGCTTCCCACAGCGGGCACCAAGCCCCACCTGCAGTGGAGCCTGGAAAGAAGCTGAAAACAGCCCCCCACTGCTTCCCTGGCTCCCGCCCCAGCCCAGGATAACTGATCTGGGCCTTTGCCAGGCATCTGTGTAGGCAGACCAAAGGCACTGACGTTGAAATCAGTTTCAGAACTTGTCGGCCATTCCAGGAGGGACACGCAGCTGTAGGCGTAATTTCCCATTAGAACCTGCCACAGGGCAGATGGAGATGTTCCTTCCACGTTGCCAGGGGAGAAATGGCGACCCCGAGCTGAGAAGCAAGCTCGTGGGCTGATGGTGGCTGAGTGTGCCGCAGGGGCCCACGCCCCTCCTCTGTGCTGGGTGGGACCATGCGCTTTGGGGTAGCCCCACAAGAGAGGAGGACTTTCCTGGACAGTAGAATTGAGGCTTTTTGAACTCCCAGGCCTGCCTGCCCTCTGGGAGAAGAGCGCCTCTGCTGTAGCTTACAGATCTCTTAAAGGGCACTGCCATGCTCTGCTGGCCCACACGTCTGCTCTCCCAGCCTCACTGCTCAGAATCGTGATATGTGGCACCATCGTAGCTAAACAAGTGTGTTTGGGGGAGACCAGGTGCTGAGCATCTGTGTCTGCCGTGCTGAGTTCTGCGCCTGCCTGTAGCAGGGGTTCCTCACCACAGTTGTTCAGGGAGTTAATAAACAGATTTATGACTAAGTTTCTCTATACGCAGTAACTGTCCAGTTTTGAGAAACAATGCACGTTTTCTGCCGGATGTTCAATACCTCAGTTCTCGATTCCTCCCTCTGTCTTTTTCTGCTCTGCTGCTCTACTTAATACTCTCATATTTTCCAAAAGTGATTTTCTTCCAGCCACCCCTTTATTCCTCTTGCTGGAACCCATGTCTTTTGCTCCCAGGACCCTCCACCACCCCGCGCTTGGTAGCATTTACTTCCTAGGGTACAACAGCTGTCCTCGGTGGAAGAGGAATGAGGAGGGAGAAGATGCCTCTGACCTGAGACCCCACGACCTGCGCACTGATCCCAAACTCAGTCTCCACTCCCCCATGCTCCCGCTCAGACTATGCATGTGTGCACGTGTGTGTGCATGTATGCGTGTTTGAGTGTGTGCACACCCAGTGTTCCCACCACCCATCGTCTTGTTTTCTGACATATGAGTGCCCTTTCCAAGTTTAACCACGTGGATTTGTCTTCCGCCCCGAGAGTTGGGTGGGCTCTCATCTACCTAAATCCCACTCAGGGAGACTCACTTGGTACCGTGCTCAGACCTGCTTAAAAATGACAGTGGGCAAGATGCTGTGGCTGGGGACCCTAGGAGGTGGTGGGGCACATCAGTGGCCAAGTCTGTCACCACTCTGACGCCCCAGGAGTCTTACCTGTCCAATGTCGATGGCAGGGTTCAGACTGGAGCCAACATCCATGACGATGTCTGTGCGGAGGTTCTAGTGCAGAGAGCAAAATAAAAGCAGTTTGAAAAGAAAGCGATGTGTGGAATGATAGAGGGGTCTTGGTGACCCTTAGGTTATTAAGTGCCAACCTGAGTAGTACTTTCACAAGCAGAGCACTCCAGGCACAGTCAGGCAGGAGTCTGAGTAGGAAGGGCAGGTCCCCAGGTTCCTGAGGCTTTGAACCTGTCTGTGTCTGGGTCGATCATGTAAGGAAGGGGTTCACAAATTACATTCCACAGGCTGAACCCAGCCTGTACCCTGTTTTTCTACAGCCTGTGAGCTAAAAATGGTTTTCACATTTTTAAATGAGTGACAAAAATAAAAAGAATATGTTGTGACACATGAAAACTATACGAAATTCACATTCAGTGTGCATAAATTACATTTTACGGGAACACATCCATGAGTATCTGTTTACACACGTCCATGTCTGTTTTCACACTACAAGACAGAGTGAAATAATTGAGGCAGAGTCTCTGTGGCCCAGAAAACCTAAAATATTTACTCTCTGGTCCTTTATAGGAAGTTTGCCAAGGCATGATTTAAACACATTATTTTCCCAACCAGAAAGTTCATTCCTATCAGCTCTTTGTATTGCAATTTCAGACGTTTCTCTTTTTCCCTTTAGTACTGAAGTTTTGCAAACTTCTTACCTTATGATCCCCTGTTAAGCAGTCAACTTCCACTTCAGAGCAAGCCACCCCATAGGTGAAGTAGTGGAAAGCATTCCCTGAGTTTGTCTCAAAGCTGTAGCCAAGGTTGGGTGTCCTGGGGTAGAAAAGAGAAAATACTGCACATGTATTAAGAGGAACATGCCCCCCACTCATACACACAGAGATAGCTTGTCCCCTAAAATCTTGAGACGCTAAAGGTTTTATTTTTTTATTCAGCTGTTCTTCAAAAAAGTCCATGAGTTTTGAACATTTTGAACCTGTTCATGAAACCCAGGCACTCCGGAGCATTTTGTCCCTTGTCTCTGCTCTATTTTGCCAATGGCCTTTATATGAATCATTTTGTAGAGCTGAGCAGTGGAGAGTCCCAGCATGCTGGCCTCTACATGGTAGAAATGGAGGGGACAGATCTGCCTGAGCTCACGAAGGACACGTAAGCTACACTCCAAATGATCTACTGAATAGGGATTCAAGATCTCAGAACCAAAGGTTCTTTCTGGGCCGGCTTGTGAGCTTTTCATACAAGTTCACCTGCTCACAGGGCTGCTCACCTTTCTCGAGGTGAAAGGTAATAAGATCAGTACCTCGTGCCAACTTGGGTGCCTCTTAATGCAGCCACCTTGCCTGGTATTCCTCCTCATCTACTGATCCCTTCTAAGTTTCAACAAATGATTTGAGCAAAGGGTTGCTAATAAAAGCAGATGCTCTTTTATAAATTTTTTTCTTTTTCAATCCTGAATATCTTATAAGATTCCAATTTTGCATGAGTCAACATATACGAATGTGTGTGTGTGTGTGTGTGTCCTCTGCTTATAACAATCTGTATCTGTGCTATTCTATTCACTCCACAGAAATAATGATGTGAGCTGATGTGATCAGAATCTGCATGAAAACAAAACTGATACAGGGCTGAGGGAAAAGGCTTCCCCCAGGAGATCATCACCTTCTTTGACCTCTGAACTCACCATCTTCATCTGGGTGTTCCCTCATATAACCCCAGTTTTATCAACTCTAAAAATGAAATAGGAACTTATGAGAAAACTTGCATTAGTTTGTGTTTGTGTAGGTCAAATATTACATAACCCAAGGAACACTGGCAAAACATTACTTTGCCCTAAAAGTATATATATATACATTTATATTATATACATTCATAAATTCACACAAGACCTTTGAAAGCAAACACTGAACTATTTTCCAAATCCACTGATCTGTGAAAGAAAAGGCACTAGTTAAATTTCCCAGGGAAAGCTAAAACATTATGGCTGACAGTAAATACGATCATATCTTTTTACAGCTTCTAAATCAGATGGACAGGGTCTCTGCTACTGAATTTTAAAGTTGCAGAAGATACGTGCTCTTTTCTAAAACTCACTTTAAGTCCACTGAATTCCGCATTTTGTAACAGGACTATGTGCTCTAAATCCTCCTCTCATTCTTTTGAAGGAAAGCCTCCTTAGAGAAATCTGACGCGTAGCACAAAGTAACATACACGGGTAACTCGGAACACCAGACGCCTCTGGTTCTTGCAGGAGAATGCTGAGGGGTGAATGGCTGGTAATTGACCCACTATGTCAATAAATGAGGAGACAGGTTCAGAGAGAACCAGTGATCCCCCCAAGTGGAATAGTATACTTTAAGACCAGAACTAGAACAGAGGTCTTCCGATATAACAGCTCGTGCTTCTGGCGCATAGTTGGGTAAGCCCACGTATTTTAGAGCCTCTTTAAATTGAAGCTAGTGGGAGTCCGTTGGAGAGACAAACATTTTGGTGGAACTGCTCTCTCCTGACCATAGGCTGACAGAGTTCAGTGCTGGAGGGCTCTGCAGAGGTTAAGATGACAACACACTGTAAGATGGGCGAGACCAGCCCCTTACTTACCTGTAAAACCCGGTAGCAGACAAGCTCACTGTACCCCGGTAGGCAGCCATGACCTGAGCAGAGGAAATGGCCGTCAGGAAGGGGGAACCATGGTTTCCAGAAACGTGGGCCCAGCACTAAGCTTTCAGGAGCTCGTCTTCCTCATCTGGAAGCTGATCAACTCTTTTTCCTAGTGATTCTCACTTGCATACCTTACCTCCCCTTCTCACCGTACCCCCTGCACTAGGTCCTCACCATCTGAAGCCTGGAGCCCTGCAGTAGCCTCTTAACTGGTCTTCCTGCCTCAAGTCGCCTCCTCGCCCTGCCGTGTAGCCCAGCCAAGTCAGAGGGGTCATCTTAACACACCACACTAGCCATGACACTCCCCTCCTCTAGAGCTTTCCATGTCTCCCCATTGCCTACAGAGCAATAGACCAAATGCCTGACATTCAGGACCCCAGTCTTCTCTCTGGCTTTATGTAACACACACATCATTGCTACTCCAGCCAAAATCAAGTGTTAAGTCTCTCCCAATCCTTCATGTCCCCACACGTCTGCACCTTTGTTTACATGGGTCCTCTGCTATATCTGTCCAAATCCTTTTCTTCCCTCAGCAACCAGCGCAAGCTTGCCTCTTCATCCACTTCTCCTGTGATTACTCCCTAATCTGGGCATTACAACAGCAGCTCTGTACACTGCTCATTTGATACTTAACATGTTAGCCTTGTGTTCCTACTTACACTTTCCTGTTAATAAAGCTATCCATCTCTCCATCCATTCTATCTCTTTAACTACATAATAAATTTTCCTTTCCTTCCTTCCTTCCTTCCTTCCTTCTTTCCTTCCTTCCTTTCTTCCTTCCTTCCTTCCTTCCTTTCCTTCCTTCCTTTCTTCCTTCCTTCCTTCCTTCCTTCCTCTCTCTCTCTTTCTTTCAATATCCACAGCTCTAAGATTTAATTTGTTACTGATATAGTTTGCATCATGATCATTGTCAATTACCAAGCACTTTACTATATACCAAATGCTACTGAGTCCTTTGCAGATACTGTCTTACTTAATATTCAGTGCAATCCTATAAGATCAGCACTTATGAAGATTATTATCTTCATTTTACAGATGAGAAAACTAAGGTTTAGAGAAAAAATTTCTCTAGGATCCTTACTATATGTGCATGATATCAAATATATACATAGATCATAGTGGTGGCAGTGATGGCTTGTTTTTCAGTACAGTACAAACACTAAAGAGCTTTGATGCCTGTCATCTGATCACACCCTTCTGATAATGGCCTTTTGGGGGTTATCTGCTTATAAGGAACACGACTACATGGCCAATAGTTGAGGACAAAGCCCAGGTCAACGGATTGGAAAGGCATTATTAAAAACAATTACGTTGCCTTACAAATCCATACTAAAATTCAAACTACCAAGATCAACCCACATTCATGTGGTGTCTATGAATGTGGGCAGGGGAGTGCAGGTTGTATGAGGCATAGTAAGGTGAGTGAGTCAGAGAGAAATAGCTTATTTTCTTTGACTCTATTGAGGGAGACTTGTACTATCTGTGCTGGTTCACGTGTGGTCACATTTTATGTGTTACTGTTATATCCAGTCCTTTCATTCCAACATTAGGGGAAGGTGAGGCAGGGCCACCATTGCTACTTCTGCTCATGGGAGAAGCTGAGGTCTCTCACCTGAGAGACACTTCCTTGCAGCCTCCCTCTGAGGGCTTCTGACATGCAGGCTTCTGAACCAGAAATCAGAGAACTGGGCTCATTCTTATCATGAGTGCTTGTTGTGTCACTCTTAAAATCACAGAGACGATATAAACTCGTGGGCAGTATCTTTTTCCCTGCCCCCTCACAGATAGAGTCTCCGGACCCCAGAGCTGGGCAAGGGGAAAGGCTCCTGGGGCAGCCCTCCAAGAGATGGAGGTTTGGAGAAAACGAGGCTCATCAAGACTGCAGACAAGTGGGGCAAGGGACCAGCCCCAAGGGACCAAGACTTCTCAGTGAGGCGGAGGTAGCACTCACCCCGTCTTCTGAGGCTCAGGGTAGCCGAACCCCTAGTTCCCACAGGGCTGTCAAGATTCTGGATCAAAAATTCTCCTCAAGTGACTTCCCTCAACTATGAACATTGTAGAGAGGGGCCCAGTATGGCTGAGCATTTACTTGTCCTGTGAAAGTATACAGAGCACCTCAACTTCTCTTTGCCTGTGTGACTAGATCCCGATCTCCTATTCCTGCCCAGGGTCGGGGACAAAGCCCTGCTCTTAACTTCACTTTAATTTGCAAAAGCGACTTGAATCAGCTCAGACTTACCCAGTCTTCCCAGGAGCCACTGGGATTCTTTCTCTTGAAGGGTTCCAGCCTTTGCAGGATGGTCTGGCAGGCTTCCTGAAGAACACATGCCCCACATGGCAGACACATCAGTCCTCTGCATTCCCAGACCCAAACAAAACCCCGAGGACCTGCAAGCGATGCTGTGCCCAGAGTGCCTCTCAGACAGCCTTGCCACCCTCTTGGGAATGTCTGAGTCTCAGGGTAGAAGCCGTTGGCTCTTGCTTGGAGAGCACTTCCGGACCCAGTCCTGAGGCTGACAGAGGGGGAGATGTTGAGGGATCCCTAAGGAGGTGCCTTCTCCCGTCAAACGCCTTTGTTTGATGACATCAGACAAAGCACGTGGTCTGACCTGGCTGACCCCACAATCGAATTTCAATTTCGCTCCATTGTCTCGTGTCCCCCCAGAATCCCCTGCTTTCCCTCAAGCTGCCCTTGCCCTCCCACGTTCATCCTTCCTGGCCTTGATGGAAGTGGTTGTGGTTCTTGAACCCCTCTTTTAGCTTGGTGTCCCCTGGAGAAGAGAGCCAGAGGCATGGCCACAGCCACGAGCCTGCAAGGAGCCATTCCAGCCCCCAGCCCGGGGACTCTCCACGCCCCCCGCCTCGGGCTGGCCCTCAGCACGGCGGCCCCTGAGGCTCCTTACGTAGACGGCCTGTCCGTAGATGTCGGTGCTGACAGAGGCAGCCGTGGGAGAGGTGTTAGGCACAGTGTTAGTACTTGTTTCGCTGATATAGATCTTAGAGGTGGGGATCTTCAGAGCTCTGCTGGCCACCTGCGAACAGAGAGGACGTCACCCCCTAGGGAAGGGCTTGGCTACCTTCTCCCCAAGATGGGATTCAGATTCACTGTTACAGAAAAGAAAATCATTTCGTAAACCATAATTCTACTGAGACTCGGATGTTCTCACATCTGTCTGAATCTGAAGCAGCACTTTATGGAGTGGTTTGGTTGGATTAAAAAAAGTCATAAATGTAATGGTGAGGAACAATGCCTTTTTAAACTAACCCTGGCTTTTAAAAAAATCCAGTTTGGCCAGTACCCACAAGCCAAGCAGGTATGCCAACTCTAATTCAGCGCCCCTGGGAGGAGTCCCGTGTGCATGAGGGTAGCCAGCTACCTTAATACACATAACACACACCTTACACACAGTCACAGAGCCCTAGAGTGCTGGTGATGGAAGTGGCCTGAATCATTACCTGGCCAAACCCTTTGCACAGATGGGGAAACTGAGGCCAAGAGGAGGAGCAGACTTGCCCAGGGTCACATGTAAATGAGCAGCAGGGCTAGAGCCAGAGCCTAGGCCTGCCTCTGCTTCTGGTATGTGGCACTGCTCTCTTTTTCACAGCATCTTCCCTCACGCAGACACCACAGTGCTGGGGCGGATGCCCATGGTCTCCAGACTGCTCACCTGGACCATCTTGGTGTGAAGGCCTTGGCCCATCTCTGTGCCCCCGTGGCTCACCAGCACAGAGCCATCTGTGTACACATGGATCAGGGCTCCTGCCTAAGGGAAGAGAACGATACCAAACAGAAAATTCAGCAAATCCTAACTCAGTTTAAGGCCTGGGACCAAAAGTACTGGAGCCCAGGAAAAAGAAAACCAGCAGTAGAAATTTGGATAGGAACCTCAGACAGAAAAATCAAAGCAATATAAATCTCATGATCTAATTATATAGTCTTTCAGTAGTTTGCAAAACTACTTTATTTTTTCATATCTCTCTGTCACCTATCCTAAGAGGGAGGTAGGTCTTTGTCCTGATTCTCCTGATGAAGAAATGGGATCAGAAAGGCAGAACAGATGTCCATAGTGCTATAGGCAGGAAGATAAGAACTAGACATTGACCCCAGATCAAATAAGTACGTGCAAGTTCAACTTTCATTTAAATAGCAAAGAGTTCCTCTGTTCAGCTCTGTTCCCGTGACAATGGGCTTTCCCTTGCAACACTACAAGCAGAGGGGGAAATGGGGCCCCAGTGCAGTGGAGATGGACAAAATTATATAAAGCAATTACCTGATTCAGAAAAGGAACTGTGAAGCTTATTCCAAATTTGGTAGGAATTATGCACAATCCTCTCTTTTTCCAACAATTCTCCCTGGAGGGAAGAAAAAAAAAAAATTCTCATAGCAACTTCTCCACTATATTCATGTCAGATTGAACATATTTTATGTCAATATCTTTGTAAAATTGGAACAAAGCATCCTTGGAATTGCGCAGTTAGTCTCTGTCATAACTGAGTTGTGCTTCAATTGTGTAGACAAAATGAGAACAGCGGAAATTTGGGTTCTAGATCCTCCAGTGGAGCTGAAACAGGGCCCACCCTTGAAAGCCTTGAGTGGGATTCAGATTGGGCCAGAGTGCTCTGGTGATCTTGGACTCTACTCGCCCCAGGGAGGAGCTGTGGCTCGCTGATGATAATGGAAATACTTTCTTTGTGCTGTATATTTGGTTATCCAAGTAACTCTGTCAGAAAGACAGAGCCAGCACAATTATCCCCACTCTACAGATGATGAAACTGAGACCCAAGAAGATGGAGTGACTGCCAAGGTCACATTTATAGCTTAGTGTCAGAGGCAGGCACATAACGTGGTGTTTTTAGTCCCAGGCCAGTGTCCTCTAGAACATCGTCTGCCCAGAAGGCAGACAAACGTATAAAGATGGACCACACTGATGTGCTATGACGCTGAGCGCTGTGAGCCCCGAGCCCCAGGGCTGAAGACCATTTCAGGATCTTAAAGAGATGGCTGTGAATGAGTTAGCAAACACAGCAGCCTCCTAAGTTACCTATTAAGTTATTATTCTTATTCTGAGTTCAGCAAGAAGGCTATAGAATCTGAAACCCAGAGAGCCCCAGAACGTCAGGCTCTTCCCCTCCTGGCGCTTACTTGTTGAACTTGTCAACCTCACTCTTCCGGGCGTGATACTGAGAGCTCTTCAGGCATTCATCCCAGCACCTGGGTAAGTTGAAACCCTCAAGCCTCTGGTTGAAGTGTGTCAGGTCCCCTTCTCTGTACAGATTCTTCCTCCGTACCTTCCCAAGGAGAGAGACACTGAGGCCAGGTCGGTGGCAAGAGACCAGGGGGGCATAACTAGAAGTTGAGCTTCCCGCCCCTCACCAGCACCTGCCCATCCTCTACCCCCACGGGAGATGTCCAAGATACAAAGCAGGTTAACCCCTCTGACTTGTGCCCCCAGATTCCCCGCTTACTTCCTCTGCAGGCAGCCCACAGGTCACTGCGACGTCACTCATCCAGTGCTCAGCAATGAACAATGCCTGGGGCCCCCCAAAGCCCCGGAAGGCCGTGTTGGAGGGCAGGTTGGTCTTGCACAGCCGCCCAGTGCCCCGGACATTGGGGATTTTATAGCTGTTGTCCATGTGGAGTAGAGCTCGTTCCATTATCTGAAGCAGAAGAAACCAAAATGGGAGAGAATGATGCATGGATTTCATTGGCTCCTCCGAAAAGGAATTTCAAGGGCTGTGAGCATCCCCACCTCTGCCAGCCCCACAGTCAACTGTTCTTCCTCAGGCCCAAATTATTTCTTTCCCGGGGTATTGCAAGCCTCCTTAGTGCACTCCTGGCCTTCTGTGTCTCCTCCTTCTAATTTATGCCTCATTCTGAAATATAAGGTCATAGCAGGTCAAGCACTTGCTTCAAAGTGGCACTTACTATCTCCAGAGTAAAGTCTGTATATCTTTAAGCATGGAATTCAAGACACTTACTGACCTTTCCCCAATACACTTTCTTTTTTAAATAAATAAATTTATTTATTTATTTTGGCTACGTTGGGTCTTCATTGCTGCCCACGGGCTTCCTCTAGTTGCGGCGAGTGGGGGCTACTCTTCATTGCGGTGCATGGGCTTCTCATTGCGGTGGCTTCTCTTGTTGCAGAGCATGGGCTCTAGGCACGTGGGCTTCAGTAGTTGTGGCATGCGGGCTCAGTAGTTGTGGCTCTCGGGCTCTAGAGCGCGGGCTCAGTAGTTGTGGTGCACGGGTTTAGCTGCTCCCCAGCATGTGGGATTTTCCCAGACCAGGGCTTGAACCCACATCCCCTGCATTGGCAGGCGGATTCTTAACCACTGCGCCACCAGGGAAGTCCCCCCAATATACTTTTGATCCTCTTTTCTGACTGCATGTTACTCTCACCCGTAAGGCCCCTCCCCACCATATCCACCTGCTAAAATCCCCATTCAGCTCCCACATGGAGGAGCCCCTCCCAGATCTTCTAGTTGGAATTGATCACTTGCCTCTTTTAAAAAATGGGTGACTTTATTCTCATTAAACTTGCACTGCAAATAGTTTAAAGAATCAAATACTTCCATAAGCCACGTTATACAAAACAGCACCTGCCTCCACTTTTCCTTCCACTCCCCAGAAGCAACCACTTATTCTTTGTCAGCTACTTACATTGTCTTCCACGTCTCTAAATAATGTTTATATTGCCACTTCTTGACTTGTTCAGTTTTAGACTTTTTATACTGTTTTCCCATCATGGAAAAGGAGGATTTAGTTCCCGCCCAGCCCCCTTTCTCTACATATACACCAGCTTCCTATCTCACCTCGTCCTTGTATAGTTATACTTTCTTCTCATCAACTGTCCATTTAATCATTCTGTAAACATCACTTACAGCTGAACCATGTAGGTATACTAGGTTTACTTCTCTTTCTTGATAATATTTCCCCCCTTGGAGTTAACAATTATCTTTACTTTTTTCATTTGCTTCATTTTCTATGCACATATTACTACAAATTTGTTTTCAATATGTTCAAACACATTTGATTTTCTATTAATCTCATCTTTTTGAAGAAATTGTTTCTGGAGCCTTCTGGCCAACTTCAATTTAAATTGGCAGCCCCTAGGCTTCTGTTCAGCTGTCGCCCAGGGGTTTTCCCCTCACATTCATCTCCCTCTGCCTCTCTCCACATTGAATCTTCTGTTTCTAGATCCCATGTCTTCCCTTTTCTTAGTTTTACACCCTTATATGATTGGAGTACAACCGTCAACATCTTCCCAAAAAGTGTATATCTAAAGGTACATTTCTGAGAACTTGCATGTCTGAAATGTCTTTATTCTACTCTCACCCTTAATTCATGATTTGGCTGTATACAAAATTCTAGGTTGGCACTAAGTTTCCCATTTACCCTCAGCATTTTGAGGGCATTTTACTAGTGCATTCTAGCTCCCCAGTATTGAGAAATCCAACCAATGCCTTTCCAACTCTTGGAATGAGTTCCGTTTTTTTTCCTCCCTGAAAATTGTAAAATCTCCTTTGTCCTCAGGTTTCTAAAATTTCACAATAATGTAAATTAGCATAAGTCTATCTTCCTTCATTGTGCTGGTTACTGGATGGGCTCTCTTAATCTCAAAATATATGCCCATCTGTTTTGGGAAATTTCTTGAATTATTTCTTAATAGTTTTCCTTCTCTCTCTTTTTTCTATTCTTTCTTTCTGAAACTTCTATTATTTGGATCTCCTGGACTGGTCCTCAGATTTTCTTGTATTTTCTTGCTATTCTTCCCCATTGTTTTCTCTTTTTTTAAGAGAGCACCTCAAGTTTCTTTCAACCCTTCTGCTTTCACAGTTTTAATTCACAAGGCTTCATTTTTATTCTTAGACTGCTTCATTTTTATAGCATCCTGTTCTTTCTTTAAAGTGTGATAACTCATCTCTCTGATGAGCTAAATGGTAGCTTTTGTTTGTTCGTTTCATTTTGGCTTTAATTTACTTCCCCATTTATAGCCTCTTTCCCACAGGTTGCTTTTGGGGGTCTTTGATTTTTTTCAGTCTTAGTCATCCTAGATGATTTTTATATGTCTCAATTCCATTTTTGCTTTCCCTTAGCACTTTGTCAATTGTACTTCATTTTATCTTTTATTATCTGTCTCCCCCACCATACTGTGACCTTCTAGAGGGCAGAAACAATGCCATATTCTTCTATATGTCATCACCCTAGGGGCTTGATAAATATTTGCTGGATTGAATTTTAACACTTGTAAAATCTTTGGGGATAAGTCCTATATCTTTTTCAACCTGATTTTCCTACAACACAAAGAAGCAAGTGTTATATTTGGTGAGACTACCAGAAATGTTTTCTTTTTTGAACAGCTTCCTACACTAGATCTGAAGTATAACGTTTCCTAATTGAGCCAATTAGAGAAGCCCTTAGCACATTCAAAGTGGGAATAATGGGGAACTTCTGCTTCTCCTGAAATGTTTGACTTCTTTTTTAACAAGAATCTATGCATATATAACTAATATGGTTATAAAATTAAGATTTAAAAAACTTAAAAGGTAGTACCACCAAAGTAACTTGGTTAATTTTCAAAATGACAAAAATATATGCCATATGAGAAGGTTCAAAGCAGCATTATCCATAAAGCTAAAGACTGGAAACAACCCAAATGTCCTTAAAGTGGTGAATGGAAAACAAAAAATGGTCTATTCATACAATGGAATATTCTTCATCAATAAAAAGGAATGAAGGAATGATCCATGCTAAAACACGGGTGAACCTCAAAAACATTATTCTGAGAGAAAAGAAGCCAGACAAGAAAGACTACATAGTATATGATTCCGTTTATATTAATTGGCCACAAAAGGAAAATCTGTAAAGACAGAAAGTAGATTAGCAGTTGTCTGGGCCTGAGGGGTAGGAACAGGAGTGACTGCAAATGGGCATAAGAGATAATTTTGAGGTGATTGAAGTGTTAAAAAAACTGGATTGCAATAATGGTTGCCTGACTCCTTAAATGTACTAAAACCGTTAAATTGTAAAACAGTTGACCCTTGAAAAATATGGTTTTAACTGTGTGGGTCCACTTATAAGCATATTTTTTCAATAAAGATATTGGACATTATTTTGGAGATCTGCAACAATTTGAAAAATTTCACAGATGAACTGAAGAGGCTAGAAATACCAAAAAATTAAGGAAAAGGTATGACATGAATGCATAGGATATATGTAGATATTAGTCTATCCTTACATAGGTATAACGTAAGTGATCTTAAATATAAAATAATATGTTAGTTTTCTTACTGTTTTATAACTTTGCTTTCAGAGAATTATATTACTGTTCAGTATGCCCCTCTCCTGTAATTGGAGAAACTGCCTCTCAGCCTATCATCACAGGGAAGTGGGTTTTTAAAAATGTAACCGTGTTTCCAGTACTGTATTATGTCTATGACTGTAATCATATACTATATGCCATAAAAATTACTGTATGTCATAAAAATTTTATAACGATTCATTCATTAGTGTATAGGCTAGGCAATCCTGAAGCAATCGTATTGATGACACTGGGCTACCATAAAGCAATCATACTGCTGCTTCTTCGTTATCAATGCATGAATCACTGTATCTGTAAATAAACATGAATTTCTCTTTCACATTATCTTTTCACTGTTGATGTCTAGTGTTAGTAATTCAAATAACATCTACAGTGTTTTGTATCACATAAGATAATATTGATGTAGGTACTTACAGACAGATGGTTCATCCTATAAACAGATTATGTAAATTTACAGTATCGATAAATATAGTACAGTACTGTATTTTCTTCTCCTTATGATTTTCTTAAGAATATTTCCTTTCCTCTAACTTATTTTATTGTAAAAATACATATATAATACATATAACATATAAAATATGTGTTATTGGACTGTTTATGTGATTGGTTATGTTTCCAGTCAACAGTAGGCTATTGGTAGGTAAGTTCTGGGCGAGTCAAAAGTTATACACAGAATTTTTTTTTTTTTTTTTTTTTTGCGGTACGCAGGCCTCTCACTTTTTTGGCCTCTCCCGTTGCGGAGCACAGGCTCCGGACGCACAGGCTCAGCGGCCATGGCTCATGGGCCTAGCCGCTCCACGGCATGTGGGATCTTCCCAGACTGGGGCATGAACCCATGTCCCCTGCATCGGCAGGTGGACTCTCAACCGCTGTGCCACCAGGGAAGCCCAACACAGATTTTTGACTGTGGGGTTGGGGGTGGTGCCCCTAATGCCTGCGCTGTTCAAAGGTCAACTGTCCTTCAAATGGGTGAACTTTATGTTATGCAAACTATATTTCAATTAAATTATTTTTAAAAAGGTAAATCAAGTCATTATTTAAAATTCAAACATCACAGAAATGCATAATATAGAAAATGACAGTTAGTACCCCCCCTTAATCCCACCCAGTCACTGTTTGGAGTATGGTCTATCAGACTTTTGTCATGCATATCATTACACACACACACACACACACACACACACACACACACACACACAAATTAGTATTACATTCATGCACTCAATGTCACCATACTATACATAAAGTTTTGTAACTAACTTTACTTGCTTGGCAAAATATCCTGTACCAGAATGATGAGTTTCTAGTCAGATAAGTAATATGATCACTTCCATGCTTTAGAGAATAACCAAGGATGGAGAACCTGAAGGTGGGGACCAAGTAGGAGGCTATTGCAACAACAGGCAAGAATTGAGGAGGCCTATTCCCGCGTGTGCAAACATGCTATGGGGCACACCCGTGACCTCCCAGTCACCCCGGATGCAAGGGCACGTCCTACATACACCGAGAGAGAGGTCCTGGCTGTTCCCGGCATTGCTGTAGTGATCCACCTCCAGAGCCACAATCTTCCCCGTCTTCATGAAGCCAACCTGAAAAAAAGGAGAGTGAGTTCTCAACTGTCCCCTTCCTTTGTCTGTCTCTAGCCATCTCCTCCCACTTACGCTACCTGGAGAAAACAGAAAGAATAAGACATCCCACCACAAAATAAAGTCAAACTTAAGAGATCACCAGACCTCACAGGTGAAGAAGAGAGAAACCAACATCTCCCCAGTGATGGACCCTGGACACCCCTTCTCCCTACACTCCTCCTTCTTCCTCCCTACTCCTGGCTTCTGGTTCTACCAACGGAAGTGAGAAGGTAGAAGAAAGAACACTGGTCATGATAGGTCAGGGAGGGGAGGGCTGGGAAGAGAAACTAGGAGAGAAACTGGAGACTCCCTCACAGCTTTTGGCCAGAAGACAGCAAAAGTTACACCTTGCACAAGCATGAAAGTGCTTTCACATCCCCAACCTCGTGTAAACTATCTAAACAAACCCTGACAGGCCATTTCATGAGCGAGGAACCTGAAACCCCACAAGACCAAGTTACTTTCTTGGAGCCCACAGAAATATGGGAATAAGAGAAATGCAATCCCTTTTGGTGAGTTAAATCATGGACTAAAGTCAGAAGAGGCCAAAGAGGAGATGTTCAAAGCCAACTTGTGGAGACAGAGGGCTCCCAGGTTTATAGCACCAGACTGGGACCTGTAAGGTTCTACTGGTGTGTAGAGGGGAGGATGCATGGTCAGAACAGTAGTTGGTCATCCACAGAAGCCCAGAAAAGGGACAGTCCCACAGGGTACTTGGGTAGTGCCCAGCCATACATGTTCTGGCCGAGCAGGCACCCTAACAGCTTATACCTGACCAGGCCCCTGGAAAGTTGTATTTCTCATTGGAGATTACTAAGTGGTCATTCTGACTTTGACATCAGGCTGTAAACACATTAACATTAGGCCATCCTGTGGGATGGATTTACCCCAGATCTGCTGACAAATCACGTTTCCGAGCCTGAGTGGACAAGGACCAGATTTGGACCCCAGCAAATTCACAGGCGTCACGCACAGCATCCTGTGGCATCTCTTGGGAGGTGGCCTGCCAGCCTCCCCCAGGATCACCCTCCTATGTTGCTGTTGGTTGATTTGAATTTCTCTCCTTGTTATTCCTTCTTTGAATTTCTATAGGCAGTCATGACAAAAGTCAGAGTGTATCCCAGGATCCCTGAATCTTTATCCCCAGTTTCCTAAGCAGAGGGCACTGCCCACCCGGCACAGCCCCCGACATCTAGAACCTTGTATCTGGCCAAGAAGGGGTGTCTGCCACCAGTTATCAGCATGTCCTCATCACGGTCCAGCATGCAGCGCACCGGGTAGCCAGTCCTGGGGGAGGTACCAGAGCGTGAGAAACCTCTACAACAGCCCAGCCCTGTGAGTCTCAGGGATAAAAACAGCAAGGAAGCCTTCTTTCTCCACCTGGTACACTGCACTGCTTCGCTCTCTAGGCACTGTGCTGGACAAGGTGGGGGACATCCAGGTGTGAGGTATGGGGTGTGGAGTGTGTCCTTGCCATTGGGATCCTCACAGGTAGGAGAGATAGGACATGGACACATGCATTTGAATACAATGAACCAGGTGATGTTGCCCTCACCCCTATGCCCACGAGTTCTAAAAACCGAGGGCTGTGAAAATTTGAAGCAAGGGGAATCTACTTCCCAAAGGGGGGAATCCAGGAAGCCTTCCTGGCAGAGGCAGCCTTATTCCTCTTCCCAAGAGCCCACTGGGGGAACTCACTTGTATGCAGCCAGGGCCACAGCCACAGTCATCACGATGCCCCGGGTCTCTTTCCCTCCAAAGCCTCCTCCCATTCTCTTCACTCGGACCAGAATCCGGTTTACTGGAACCCCCAACATTTTTGCAACAAAGGACTGTGGGCAAAAGAACAAAATACTCCCAGTGAATGCATATGCCACCTGGACTTACTTCAGGCCTGACCCAGAGCCTACCCGACACACAGAAGCCTAATTACTGCTATGAACTCTGAAATTCCTTGATTCGAGAATCCCCCTCCTGTCCCAGGGCAGCCCTTGGGTAGTGGTGCCAGGGTCTGGCGCACATCAGTCACTGTGCACCGAATTCAGACACTCGTTTTTTTTTGTTGTTGTTTGTTTTGTTTTCTTCTTTTTTTTTTTTTTTTTTGCGGTACGCAGGCCTCTCACTATTGTGGCCTCTCCTGTTGCGGAGCACAGGCTCCGGACACGCAGGCTCAGCGGCCATGGCTCACGGGCCCAGCTGCTCCGCGGCATGTGGGATCTTCCTGGACCGGGGCACGAACCCGTGCCCCCTGCATCAGCAGGCGGACTCTCAACCACTGCGCCACCAGGGAAGCCCCTAGACACTCATTTTTGACCAGAGGGGTGAGCAGCTGTTCACAGCCTACTTTCAGAGCCAAAATTCATTCCATTTGGCCAGGAACTGGTGGGTCATGAGGGTAAGACCAGCTGCCCAAAACACTGGCAACCACTGTCCTATTACATGCAATAGAGAAATGAGGAACACTTGAGCCACTGCAGCTAATGTAGTGGTCCCCATGGCTCTCACTTAGCACAACCCCTTCATTTAATAGATGAGGAAACTGAGGCCAGATATGATCTGACCAAGGCAATACAGCACTGGAATGATAAAAGCTAAGATTTTCTAGGCTCTATCCAAGTTTTAAAACTCATCTAATCATTACAACGTCCTGGGCAGGCCCCATTTTATAGATGAGAAAGTTATATAACAAGCTCAATGACACCAGCTTGTTGGTGACAGGGCCTGGCTTCGAACCACTATCTTCACATCCCCTCCTGGATCAGCCCATGTCTCCCTCTTCCCCGGCCCCTTGTTGACCCACCGGACACCTACCTGGGTATTCATGGTATTCTGTGTGGACACAAAGAGCTCCATCTCCCCTGCCTCGCCTTTCGGGACAGCAATGGCACAGTGAGTCTCCAGATAGAAATGCTCTTGGCCACCAATGTACAACTCGCCTGGAGAAGCAACAAGACTCCCCACAGTGAGCCCGATGCTGCAGAGGTGGTGAGTTTGCTTAAGGAGAGAATGTACTCATGCAGGGCCCTGTGCAGTTACCAGCTGTTCACAGGTAACCTTTCAGTTCCCCAACTGGGATGGAAAAGGGTCTCAAAGTCTTAGCCATCTGGGAGCTGAACCCCCGCACACTAACGAAGAGATCAGAACGACACTGAAATGCATCAGGTGTGAAGCTCCCTTCCTGCTGCAGCCAGCGGAAATGAAAGCTTTTTAGACTATCATTGTAAAATTTTGGAAAAAGTAAAAAAGGAATTAACAGATGTGATTCAGAAGCTGAAAATAAACAGCATCTCCCAGACCCCAAGCTGTCAGTCCAGCTGTATAGCTGGCATACTAGTAACTTAGTGATGTACAGAAACCAATGTAGAAAACCATCCCCAAAGGGGGCTGACAGGCAGCCTTGCTCTGGGGTGAGAGCTCTGGACCTAATTTCCCAGTGTGGGAGGGAAAGGGGGAGGAGAGGAGAGAGCACTAGCTGGAGATGGGTGAAGACTGCCTTCAGGCAGATGGGGAGGACCAGACGTCTGTGTAGCCAGAGGCTAGGCAGACCCAAGACTGGTCAGACATCTGTGACCCTTTTTTTTTTTTATAGTCTTTATTGGAGTATAATTGCTTTACAATATTGTGTTAGAGACATCTGTGACCCTTATCTTCCCTAGACAGTCTTCCAAATCCAACACATTATAATGTCTCCAGAACCACTTAGGTATGTCCAGTCTAGAGACAGGAGAGTAGAGATTAAGATGCTGAAGTTCTTTCCCAGCCACCTGTCTAGTATTTTGTTACAAACAACAGAGAGACTCTTCTGTTAGGAAATGTCAGGAAATCACTCCCTTGCTCCAGGGCTCAGGTACAGCTCTTGAATTTAACTCATAAACCAGGGCCACCCCATTCCCACTGCTGCATCATGCGGCCATACCTGAAACAACGTTATCTGCTTCCGAAAACCCCTTCTTGAGGTCTCCTTTCTCAATCTTCAGCTCAGATCCATAAAAGGAATTGTTTTTTATAGCATCCTGAGGATTAAAACGAAGCTTCAGTGACTTGGCTTTAAAGGACGGAAGGTGGCTTAAAGGGATTGGGGAAGAGAAGCTCTTGGAATTATTACCTCTCTCTTCCCACATAAGTCACACAGCCATCTCTGTAAGTTTCTTATATAGACTTAAAGCTCAATTGTAGCCCAAGGTGTCCTATTTCTCTATTTCATTAGATATAGGCATACAACCCTGGATCTTGAGGAAAGCAAAGAATCCCTCAAGGAACCAGCTGGAGCTGAAATTGGGAAGGAAGAACTCAGCTTGGCCATTTATGGACTGAGTCTAGGATCATGATGGGGAAGGATTCATAGGACCACACAATCGCAGGCTGGAGGAGATTTAAAAACTTATCTGGTCAGATTCCACCTGCTGTTTGAATCTCCTCTAGAGGATCCTAATAAAGGTGCCTCCAGGAACAGGTAGCTATCTCCCATCTCCAGGCAGCCCATTCCGCAGTTACCTCAATCGTGATAATGGCTGGAAGATCCTCATAGGTGACTTTCACTCCATGGGTGGCTCTCTGTGCGTGTTCTGGGGTGTCGGCGACCACAGCACCAATGACGTGCCCAACACAAGTCACCTAGGAGCAGAGCCAGATGGTTAAAGAACATAACATGCTCCTCATGAAGCAAATTATTTCTGATTGTTCAAAAAAGCAAAGGAAGTCTCGCCCCCATAATTTTTTAAGGCACGTTTAAGGAATGTCCTGAGGCCTCTTCATGTTCTTATCCTACTATTTGGGGTTATGTGCTTCTTCATAAGTGTTTAGAATCAGTAGAACTGGAATAGGGCTTGGAGATAACTAGTATCTGATGGCAGCCTCTTGAGAAGCTGCCCAGGATGAAATGTGGTGATTGATTAGTGATGTCTGCCATGAGCAGCAGAATGGAAAGCACGGCACCATGAAGTATATCTGTCAACTCAGATCTACCCCAACACCCTTGTTCTTCATATTAAGAGATGGAGACCCAGATGGCAAGATCACAGTTGCCTCACTACTAGACCATGACTAAATCTTAACCCTTGACTTCCAGTTTTATTTTCTTTCTACCACTCTACTCTCTTTTATCTTCTGTTTCTCAGATTTATACCAAAAGTTTCTCAAAGGCAGCAACCATGTCTTATATTTCACCTAGATGCCCCAAAGTGGTCATTCCCCAATACTGGTTCTTAGACATGATGACCTATAAACCAGTTTTTTTGGTTGTTAGATTTATAGAATAATTAATGATTATTGTTTTCTTTTCATTTAATAAATTCAGTTACTATAGAAACTTTACGGATCTCCTTCAGGGATAATTTTTTTCCAACATCCTTCCAAAAATAAACAAAAAAATTGTCCAACTCATCACTTTGGAAGATGAGATTTCTGACAATAGGAACCAATACTTAACATGTCTTGTCTCTGATAATTACCTCTTCAGGACCCAGTTAAGCTCTTGACTTAATTGGTTAGCCTAGTGGTTGCTGAACCTGGCTGATTCTCACTAACCATAATGCTAGTTATGGTCTTAGAGGCTCTTGAAGTTTGTAAAGCAATTTGTCTTCTATCAAATGCTCTCCTTTTAGAGTCCTTGTGTCTCAGGGTTATAGTTTTGCATTCCCTCCTTCACTTTTAGCTTAATAATAAGTTGAATTTGTCCTTCAGCAACACCTATCAACCTCCAATTTGCAACATTTGATCTGTACTGGAATTATACAGTGACTGACAACTATCCTACAAGTATATAGGTTTTTGTAGCAGCTGCCTTGAATGTCTGGAATTTTTTTTTTTGGCAGAACTCCATATATGGTTGAAATCAATAGATAAACTTTCATGTAAGTGAATTATCAATACACATAGTGGTGGTGATGTAATTGTAATTCCTATTCTGGTTGGTTTGTTTAGTGTATTTTTATTTTCTTTTAATAAAGGAGTTTAATATTGTACACTTAAGAAGCTGATTGTTTGTTAAAATACGGTCACAGGCCTTTTTTTAATGCCACTTTGGCATGGAGTCATCCTACTACGTCTTATGCTATGTACAAGCTGCAGCCATCGATGAAATAAATAAATAAACATTAAGTTAAAAGTAAAAGTGCTACCAGGCATATTCTATCCCTTTGCTGATTGTCCTGAATACTGGCTAATTGGATGATGGCCGTGATATGTGCAAATGTATAATCTTTTCAAGATCAGGGATTTGGAGGAAAAAACACAAATTAAAACTTAAATACTCATTCCACTAACTTCATATTTTTTTTTAAAAAAATCCAAGATGTACCTTATCCTTTGCAAAGACTGTCTCATCATTAAAAAGTCCAGTTTCATTACTCCCAGGAATATCACCAGCGGAGAGAAAGCAAACAAAGCCTGGCACCTTCCGCGCTTCTGAAATATCAATGGACCTGCAAGGAGGAGGAGGAATGTGAGGGGCCAGGGAGGAAAACAAGCGGAAGACCTGTCACCTGTCACCTGACTCAGTGATGAACTATGCTCTGCTTCTACCTGTGTATCAATCATTCTTTCCCAAAAGACTGTATAATAGAGAAAATTTCTAAAATATCTTCAGCTATACTTTTTTTTTTTTTTTTTTTTCTTTTCCTTTACGGCGCCCTCTCTCTGTTGGTCCCTCTCCCATCGCGGAGCACAGGCTCCGGATGTGCAGGCTCAGTGGCCATGGCTCACGGGCCCAGCCGCTCCGCGGCACGTGGGATCTTCCCGCACCGGGGCACGAACCCGTGTCCCCTGCATCGGCAGGCGGACTCTCAGCCACTGCGCCACCAGGGAAGCCCAGCTATAGTTTTATATCTTATAAATCTTGCTCCTTGTAGTTCCCTATCCAATCCCCTCCATCCCTTCATAGGGAGAACAGATACTATCAGCTAGAACAGGGGTCTATACCCTCAAAGGGTCTATTGATAGAATTCAGGGATCCATGAACTTAAACAGGAAAACATTTTCATCTTAAAAAAAAAAAAGACCCATTACCCAATTGGATAACTTTGTCTTCTTTTTGACAGTTTTTCCTCCACCCTAACGCTTCCCTTTTTTACCTCCTATCCTATCCTATCCTATCCTATCCTATCCTATCCTATTTTTCAAATGCTGATTAAATGCTTACCACGTGGAGGCCACTGTGCTGAGTGCTGTGGGAGATATAAGATGAATAGGACACGTTTGTCCCTATGGACCTTGTACAATGCCCTATTTTGGTCTCCAAGTACAAGAGAACCGAAAAGCATTTACTCTGGAGAGCTCCAACACCCACATCACAGCTAATACCTATCCAGATTCAGCACATTAGGGCCTTTGCTGTACCACTCAGTTTCCTCATCTGGAACATGGGGATAATAATATGACCTGCCTATAGGGTTGTGGCGAGGAAGAGGTAAGGCCACATGTGTAAAATGCTTTAAACCAGGCTGCAGCAAATATTGTGTGACGTGAGTGTTTTTATTATCATCACCATCATCATCGAGGTAGAAATTCTTGCCATTTGGGCTCTCAAGGTTCAACAAATGGGTACAAGTGATTATTCTCTGCTGGGTCCTTTGTGGACACTATCACTGATCCTCACAAAAGTACCCTATGGAGAAAATGAGAGCTTAAGCACACAAGCCAAGGTCAGGTTGCTAAGCACTGGAATAGGACGTCAATGCCAGGCACTCTAAGGCCTCCTTCTTCCCTTTGGTGCTGACTCAAGTTCTCCTGAAGATTTGCACTGAAGTTTAGCCCAATATCCACAGTGAAGATCTAAGAAAGGCCTTTCAGCAGCTCCTCATTGCTTTTCTGGCCAAGTGTAGTGTCCCTGTTCAGCACCCCAAGGCTTTCCTGATCTGGCCCCTGCCTATCTCTCCAATGTCATCCCCCCACCCTCCCAGGACCCCTGAGCCCCTCACGTCTCCTGTTTCTCTCCAGACTGGTTTTAAAAAGAGTTCCTGTGTTCCTCTCTGGACTGGGAGGCCCTGGAGGAGGCTTGTCGTCGTGGCATCTCCAGGGCCTGGCAGGTGTCCCCTGCACCCCCCTTCCCAAGTGTTTTTACTGCACGCACTTGATCTTGGCGTGGGCCCGGGTGCTGAGGACAAGCCGGAGGAACAGTTCATTCTCGTAGCGAGGGATGTCATCGCAGTACACAGCCTCCCCAGAGGCCTGCAGGGCCGCGGCCAGGTGGGGCAGGGGCCGGCCCACCATGTCCTCCTCAGACTGACCCTTGGGCACCTCCTGGAACAACATGGCCACCAGTCAGGCTGAGCTGCAGAGGACACTGTTCCCCTAGAGGCCCCAGGGAGCCATGGAGAGCTTCAGGCCAAAGCAAATGTGAGGAGTGAGAATGGAGGAGGCAGGCAGGGAACAGGGTGAAAGAAACAGAAGGCAGGTAAGAAGGCATTGAGAAGAGTGGTCACAGTATCACTATACAGTCAGCCACGGGCATCCGCCCAGGACGCCCCATGGATACCCAAATCTGCGGATGCTCAAGTCCCTTACATAAAATGGGGCAGTACAGTTGGCCCTCTGTATCCATGGGCTCCACATCCACAGATGACGGCTGACTATATGCAGGAGCAAACAAAACAAGGAACCTAAATGTCCATTTGTTGAGAGTTGCGTAAATAAACTATGCTATGCTCACAGGATGGAATAACACACAACTGTCAAAAGATAGTTTTGAAGAATTTTAATTAGAAGGAGAGAATGCTCATGCTAAGTGTAAAAGCAGGACATACAACATTGTATGTGTGTGTAATGATTCAAAATTCTGTGGAAAAATGTTATAAATATAGTACAGATATGTCCATATATGCATAGGAAAAAATGGAAAGAAGTATACAAACATATAGTAATGATCTTCTCTTGGAGGTGAGATTTGGGGTGATTTTTATTTTCTTATGTTTTTCTACATTTTTCAAAATGTTCTAAAACGTATTCAGTTTATAATAAAACACTGTTTTGTGTGTTTTTTCAAAGTAATAATAATGATGGCTAGCAGTTATTGAGAGTTTACTATATACCAGGAACTACCTAAGCTATTCACTTTTATTAACCCATTGAATCCTCAAAACCATGCTGTGAAACAGGGGCCCTCATTAGCCACATTTGCAACTGGGCATAACTAACTTGCCCAAGAGGCAGAGAGAGAAAGTAACTTGTCCAAGGTTACACAGTTATGTGATAGCAGAGTTTGGAGTCAAGTGCTGGCAGTCAGGCCCAGAGTTTATGCTTTGGACCATTACAATCTAGAGCAGGGGTCTACAAATCATCGACAATGGGCCAAATCTGGCCCACTCCCTGGTTTTTTTTTTTTTTTTTGGCGGTACGCGGGCCTCTCACTGTTGTGGCCTCTCCCGTTGCGGAGCACAGGCTCCGGATGCGCAGGCCCAGCGGCCATGGCTCATGGGCCCAGCCGCTCCGCGGCATGTGGGATCTTCCCGGACCGGGGCACGAACCCGCGTCCCCTGCATCGGCAGGCGGACTCTCAACCACTGCGCCACCAGGGAAGCCCCCACTTCCTGGTTTTACAAATAAAGTTTTATTGGTGCATAGCCACACACATTCATTTATGTATTGCCTCCTGCTTCTTTTGTGCTGCAATGATGGAGTTGAGGAATTGCAGCAGAGACTATGTGGCCCACAAAAATCCAAAACATTTACAGCTGACCCTTTAACTAATACCTCTCAAAAAATTACTGTTGATATAAATAGGGTTTTTAAAATTTTGTTTACTTTACATGCTCAAGAGAACTCCTAGCTTTGCACATTAGCCCTGCAGAGGAACTAGAAAAAAACAAAATGGGGAAAAAATGCTTTTTAAGGAGCAGGTGAAGATGAGGGGAATCCCAAGAGAGAAATTTAGGTGAGCAAAGGGGGAAATGGCTTCATTCACATTAATATAATTCCCATTTCCTTCACTAGACATTTATGCACAATGGTAAGGAGCTTTAAGCACCCACATACAATGTGAGTCGGTCACTCACCAATGGTCAGCATCATCTGAGGTGCCCTGCAAGGGCCACTGATATTAGCTACGTACAGTCTGTACTCACTTGGAAGAGCTGGATGTTGGCCGGAGGGTCTTTGTGAAAGAGTAAGGTGGCGCTGGAATAGGTGGGGTCCAGTTTACCACACTTCTGTGGAGACAAGATAACAGAGGTGATCATGACTATTTCTATCATTGGGCCCATCCTTGGTTGTTCCCAAGTGGTAAAAGTAACAACTTTCTCATCTCCTCATTTACTCTCCTGGTACTGGCTGGATCTATCTCAACATCTGAACGTGGGCTCTGACAGCTTCTCTTCCCCCACCCCTGCACCCTACTTCCTCTGACACACCAAACCAAAGTTTCCCTCCTTCCTGCATTTATGCATGTTGCTTTCTCTGTTGGGAATATCCTTCTCCCTCAGTCTTCCTGGAAAAGTCATCCTTTTTCTCCTCAATTCTGTGGGAAATATTTAGTGGTAGGGGAAATTCTCATAGTATCATCTCAACAGAATTAAGGGGAACGTGAAGCTCTCTATGCAGCATGACACCAAATCTATTTAGAAAATGATATATCCAGATCAAAAGATAGGAAGATGATAGATATATAGATAGACAGATGGAAGGACAGATAGAAAGAGAGAGAGACATGGAGCAGACAAATAGGATGACAGACAGATGGACAGATAAACATAGGAAAAAGATGAGAGAAATAAGGAAAAATATTAGCAGTGGCTTTATCTAAGATCTGAGAGTAATTTTAATTTTTTCTTTATACATTTCTGTATTTTCTAAAGTTTTCCACAAATTTATTACTTACATAATCAGAAAAAATTAACTATTACAAAGTTTTATTAAAAGGGATCTCACTCTGCTGCACCCACAGCTGTGAAGCCTTCTCTCCTTTGTGCCCCACCCCCCATTCCATCTCCTCAGTCATCACACCAGGCTGACCTTTATTGATCCCGTTCTCTCCCACACTAGGCTCCCCGCTGCCACCCCTAGTGCACACAGTACAATCTTATGATGTAACAGGTGCAAAATAAATACTTGCTGGCAAACCCATCTCAGGAGTTAGACTCTACCTCAACTAGCATCCTCTCCTGGATGCACATCTCCCCTGGCTGTAGTAGCCCCACCTCACGTTCTCATTACATCACATTCCCATTCTAACTACACAACCAGAGCTGTATCAGCTACACTGCCGGAAGGATCATCTGGTCCACCCGCCCCCAGATTTTTATAGCTAAGACATAGAAAGAGTGGTGACCTACTCAAGTTCTCACCTAAGGTAATGACACAGCCAGGACAAGAACCCACATCCCCGACTCCCAGCCCAGTGCTCTGCCTCTCAGCCACCCAGTTGGCTCCCATCTCCGTGTGGCTCCTTAGGCTGTGTCCCTGGTCCCTGCTCCTCTGTCCTTAGACATCCAGAGGAGAGGAACGTTTACCACCTGGTCCCTGGCACTCTCCTACCCCGGCCAGCTTCCCAGATCCCTAAACACAAGTGCTGCAGGAAGTCTCTGCCTTGCCCAGGCCCCAAACTCACATCTTCTGAGTCCTCTTTGCCCAGCTTCTGCAACACTGTCAGGTAGAACTTGAAGAAGAAACTGAGGGTGAGGGTGCGCCGGAACTCAATCATGCCACCTGGGGCGTCTGGGGACAAGGGCAACTCCTCCACCAGGCCTGCACACACGTCCTGCAGCAGCTTCTCATTCCAGAACCTGCCAGAGAGCAGGCTGTGTGAGAGCGCTCTCACCCAGCTCTCAGAATCCATTGTGTGAGTGGTTTGCACAGGGCCTTAGAGTCACGAACCTCAGCTCAAACTGTGGCTCAGATACTTACAGTTACGTGACTTTAGGCAAGTTACTTAACCTCCTTGAGCCTCAGTTTTCTCTTTTTTAAAGATAGATACAATTTTTTAAAGACCACAAAAATAATAATAGGTCAATCTATTGAGTTCCTATAATGTACTAGGTAATGTCCCAAGTGATTTATATGAAATGTCGTTTTCAATCTAAATTAAAAGGTATAGTCGGGAAAATTTTTATACTCATTTTACCAACGAGAAAACTGAGACATGGAAAAATTAAGTAACTTGACTTATATTACCCATCTGTTAAGTATCGGAGCCAGGAATTGGAACCAAGGAACCAAACTCCAAAGTTAAGCTTTATCTATCCATATGGTTATTGTGAGGATTACATAGGACAGTGCCAGCAAAGTGCTTGGTACAACTGCTGCCATACAGTAGCCATAGTAATAGCAGTTGCTATAATAATAGCGTAGCAGCAGTAACAGTAGCAGCAGCAATAGCAGTAGTAGTAACACTAACAGTGACAGAAGCAGTAAGAGTAGTAGTGAAAGCAATAGTAATAGTAGTAGAAGCAGAAGTAATAACAGAAATAGGAGAAGCACCAGTAGTAATAGCAAGAGCACCAGTGATACTACTGGCAGCAGAAGCAGCAGCAGCAGTGATGCTATTAGTAGTCATAGCGGCAGCAGCAGTGCTAGGTGCAATGGTAATAGTTGTAGCAGCAGTGACAGCAGCAGTAACAGCAATAATAACAGCGTTAATAGTAGCAGCTTTAAAAGTAGCAGCAGCAGTAACACCAGTAGTAGTAATACTAGGAGTGACAGCAATAATAGTATATTAGTAGCCGAAGAGACAGCGGTAGTAGCAGCAGCTATAACCGTGGCGGTAGCCACAGCAGTAACATTGGTCATAGTAGTGGTGGCAGTAGGAATATCAGTAATGGTAGGAGGAGAACAGCAGTAATAGTAGTAGCAGAAATAATATGAGGAGCACAGCTGTAGCAATTGGAGTAGTCAAGCAGCAGCAGTAGGAGCAACAGTAACGGTAGTTGTAGCTGCAGCAACAGGCAGTGATAGTATTAGTAACAGCCGCAGTAGTAGCAATGCTAATAGTAGTACAGCAGCAGCAACACGATTAAAGTAATACCACCCGTGGCAGCAGGAATCACAGTAGTAGTAGTAGAAGCAGCTACAGTAGTAACGGTAGTAGCAGCAATGGTAATACTGCTGGTGGCCATCGTCGTAGCAGCAGCAGTGATAATATCAGTAGCACCAGGAGCAATTTTATTTTGCCGTTGGCTCTTACTTCAATAGCTGTTTCTGCGTGGTCTTGAGGGCTGAGATCGTTCTGTCCGCCATTCCACCATAGCAAAGGGCCAGCTCCTTTACCTGCGTGGTTCCTGGCTGGAACAGGACTCTCATGCCACAGGTCACCTTGGCTATGTCATCTTCTCTGCGGGAGGCCTGCTTGAATGCTGAGAAAAACTCACCCTGAAAATCACAGAAAAATACCTGTTTCCTACCTTGTTTTGCAAGGACTGCAAATGGTGAGCCTGAAGCAGGGACACAAGGTGGGGTGAGGTGGTAAGACCATCACAGAGCAGCCAAGAGCTGGTGGTGGAGGTCAACGATCGGGACATAACTACCACCTTTTCAGGAGAAGTTCCAGATAATGTTCCTGGAAGCTGGGAAAGGGCCAGGATTTCTGCCTATCAGTCTGGAAAATGGGAAATCAGGGACACAGGAGAACTGGGTGCTCTCAACCAAAGAGCAGGAGGGGGCAAGGTGCTTTCACGAAGCCTCCTGAGAGACTGCCGCAGCCCCACCACGGCTTCCCCATCCTGGTGCCTGGTATCATGTCCACCCGGCCTCCCCAGAGCTGTTCTGAAGGCTCCACTGGCCTGACCACCTCTCAAGCAGGTACAGTGCGATGCCAAAGGGTGTTTGAGACCCAGCATCAGATGGAGGTGTTTGTGGCTTCTGCAGATGCTCTCCCTGCCTTGTGTCTCCTACCAGTCTACTGGCTATGGTTAGAAATCTTGTTTCCTGAAAGAAAGACTCACTACGAAACAGTAGCTGCCTTTGTGCTTTGAACATACATTTCCCCCGGATCCAAGCCAATCTCTGTCATTGGAGATAGGAGGAGAGCGTGAGTTACTTTCCAGGTAAGAACCAGCTGTTTCAGGTTCTGCTTGAGGTCTGAACTCACCCTGGCACCACAAGTTCTGATGAATGTCAAAGGTGGGAGGTTTAAGGAAAGGTTTATTGGAGAAACAAGGAGGCCCACTGTTGAGGTTCAAAATGGCCCCAGGCTTTTGTTGAAGAAGCCACGGAGACCCCTCCTAATGAGAAAGCTCGTCTAGATTTCTGATGTCTAACATGGCCCTGGGGCAATCAGCCCAGAGCTTGAACTCGGTTCTGGAGCAGAGGTTCCAGCCGCTCACTCCCAGGACTGTGCTCGCCCACGGCAACATTTTTCCCGGGGTTCATGCAGCGTCAGCATCAGGTCATCAGCTGTTCTTTCTTGAGAAAGACCTAATTCTGGGTATTAAAACCTCTTTTCATTTATAAAATGTTTTTTGTTAATGTCCCTACCTGGCAAAATAAAAACTGGGCAGTGCTACGCCTGTTTCCTCTTCCTTTCCCCACCTCATAATTAAAAAAAAAATCAAAATCTACTGATCTGTGAAATACCAGAACTCTGGGAATCCCTGTTCAAAATGGTCTATAAGGACAGGCTGGAAAATCATTAAGAAACCACTACAGGGATATAACTGCTTTAATTTAATTAGTATTCTCATGAAGGAGGTCAAAATCAGCAAGGGCAAAACATGCCTTGTAACACTCGCTAAAGCACAAGCTCTGGTAAACCCTTAATACTCTCCTTTACAGCTGGTTCCTGGCTCTCACAGATCACTTTTCTAAAAGGCCCACTGTGGAATGTGTAGGACAAAACCACACCAGCTCAAGACACCACAGGCCCCAAGGAACAAGAGCAAGGCGGCCAGAGGAGCCCAGACCTCCCCCAACAAGCCAGAAAACCCTCTCGTGAAGCAGAAATCCATCCAAGACAACACAGGACAAGGTCAGGGAAAAAGCACCTTGTCAAGCCCAAGGTCAGCATGTGAGGACCTGACTCACAGGTAGCTTCTCTACCCAGCATGCAAACTCCACACTTCATCATACGAAAAATGGGGCAGGGATACTCCACAAGTCGATGTGTTCTTGGAACTATGTCACTACCACTAGCTGGTGATCTCCACCAGCTCCTGGATATCTGCCAGGAACCTTATGAATTCTTTCTTTTCAGTCTTCACAATAACCTGCACAGTCAGTAACATGGGCCCATTTTACAGATGAGGAAATTGGGGCTCAGAAAGATGAATGACTCACTCAGGATCACACATCTACCTCTCTGGTTTCATTGATTATGCCCTGTGCCCCCATATTACTCAGAGAGTAATATGGTTGGTTAAAGGCAATGTTCAGAGACAAGAACATCAATGTTAAAGTGAAGAGATGCTAAGTTTGGTTCCCGAGGCAGGCTCTGGTCTCCCTGTCTGGAGCCTGGCAGGAGTAGGGGTGATTCAGGATGTTTCTGACAGCATCTCACCTCCCTGCTGTAGGGGATCTCAATGGAGAGCAGTATCTCCTCTGGACCTAGCAGGGTCTTTCTGTAGCCAGGGAAGAAGGTGTGATCCATCCGAACCGTTCTTCTGGTGCCTGTACAGAGGCAAGACAGAGAGGGACCAACGTGAGGAAAGCATAGGACAGACCACCAGTGGAATTCTCCATCCTGGTCTCTGATGCCCACAGTCAGAGGCAGTGGCTGGCACAACGGGGGCCAAGGTGCTCCATTTGAAATCCGTAAGCACTGGTGTGCTGGTGACTGTTTAACAATCAGTTCTTTGAGAAAAAACCCTGATTCAAAGCATTTGCTAGTTTATGTGGTATAGATACTCCTACCACGGCCAATGTAAAGCTAAAAGAGCAACATCGCTCAGTGTGATGTTGGAAGGAGGGTAGCAAAGAGTTGACACAGCAGACCTGCCCTCCTCTGAAAGTCCTGCTTACAAGGTTGGCCACTAGCTATCCTCTGGGACCTTGGATTTCAGGAGAGTTCCCACCATTCCCTGATAAGAACGGCTCACTGGGCCTGAAATGTTTGTACACATCATATGGTTTATGCTGAACACCTGACTTCCCTCCTGGGAGTCTGGAATTCTGGTACGTGCCAGGCAGAGTTACATGACCAGCCCCCAGTAAAAGACCTGGGTGCTGAGCCTCTAACAAGTGTCCCTGGTAGACTGCCCTTCACATGTGTTGTCACAACTCAGCTTATTCCTGGGGAGACTGAGCATGTCCTGTGTGGCTCCCCTGGGAGGAGGCCCTGGAAGCTTGTGCCTGGTTTCCTCTGCCCCATGCATCTTTCCCCTTTGCTGATTTTGCTTTCTATCCTCCTGCTGTAATAAGTCATAGCCATGAGTAAGACCCTACGCTGAGTCCTGTGAGGCTTCCTTGACCTCCTAAGAGTCATCAAACCCAGAGGTGGTCTTGGGGACCCTCCAACGAGGAAAGATGGGCAGGAGTACGCCATTATGCAGCATTTCCCTCTACAAATATAATAAATGGAAATAACCTCAAGGGCATAGACAACTGTAAAATGAAATAAAATAATTGGGAAATGGTGAATTTTGAGTACTTATTACCTTTGTTTTTTTTTTTTACGCAGTTATTGGAGTATCACTGCTTGACAATGGTGTCTTAGTTTCTGCTTTATAACAAAGTGAATCAGCTATACATATACATATATCCCCATATCTCCTCCCTCTTGCGTCTCCCTCCCTCCCTCCCTATCCCACCCCTCTAGGCGGTCACAAAGCACCGAGCTGATCTCCCTGTGCTATGTGGCTGCTTCCCACTAGCTGTCTATTTTACATTTGGTAGTGTGTATAAGTCCATTACCTTTGTTTTTAAATATACTTTATTTCATTGTAAGGTTATATAGTTTAAGTTTTAATAGCTGCCATGTTTAACAAATGCTCAGATTCTCGGAAAACCCAGCAATCAGCTGCGGTGAGCAGTGTGCTCTGGCCCCAGGACACACCACTAAGTAAGGCATCTGGCTGACAGGTCCTATTGTGAATTCTTAATAAAGTGATGGTCCAGCTCTCCTGGGCCCCAACCTGGGTACATCTCCCTTTGCAGTTGCCAGGGATCCAAACTTTAGGAAAGCTGCATCATTGAACTTTGGGCTCTGCTTCTCCAGAAAGTGACCTATCTTGTGAGACTCCACCCCATCCCCAGCCCCCTTTCCTGACCACTGTATGAGGCAGCTCACCTCTGGACACGATGGTCAGCTTGGTCCCACTGGCCATGAACACAGGGTTGAGGTCGGAGATGGGGCTGGCTGTGATGATGTTCCCTCCAATGCACTAGGACAAGCAGAGAGAGCGTGTGAGAGAGTCCACCCCAGGAAAGCCCTGCTCACACAGCTGGCTCCCGAACACACAGAAGGTGGGGGACACCTGCTGAAGGGAGAGCCCTGAGGTTATCCACCCCTGTGGAGACACAGGATCTGCACAGTAAGAACTTGGGCATTCGGGCAACATGCAAGAGATTCCAGTGCCTGGGGTTGGCTCTCAGCTCTGAAATTTACCTGTTGGTAAACCGGGATCAGCCCCTTTAAATTGTTTGTCTGATCGATTTCACCCAAACTCTTTCTGAAAGGGTTGTTGTGGTTTATCACAGAGGCCATAGAGATTTAGTAAAAAAGAAATAAAAGGTAAAGATCAAGGAAAATGAGGAGGAAGGCTTAAGGATGAACAGTGTGTTCTAACTGAGCTTCCTTGGCAAAGAATGTAAGGAGAATCAGACACAGCGTTCCTATTATTAGAAAAGAGGAAGAAAACCAGTTGTTCCAGGAAAAAAAAAAAAATCCTTCCCAGAAGTAGATTGCATCTGAGCTTGGGAACTCAGCAGTTTTCTGGGTTTATGTCTCCTTATCTGTAATCAAAGGAGGCAGGTGCCTGGGGTAGGGTGATGAGAATGGGAGTAGGCTGTTTTGCTTTGTTTCTTGTTCTAATTTAAAACAACAACAGCAGTGGAATGGGAGGGCCAGCTTTTCTCCCAACTCCATCAACAACTGTGAGACTGAAATGGCGCCAGGTGTGAGAACGCCGTCTGCAAACCCAGAATTTGAGGGCTAGTCTGAAGACTCATTACAAATAGTCAAGAGGTGGGCCTCTCCCTCCTCTCAGGGGGTCTACCTCTGGTTCTCTCCCCAGCTCTGAAAGGCAGTCCCCCTTCCTATTTCGGCTTCTCCCTAACTTATCTCTCATTCACCTGCTGGCAGCCTCGGCCAAGTCCAGGAAGAGGGGGGCAGGTGGCTCCAACCTCAGGGGTAAAGACTGAGTCACAGCGTGGGTGCTTCCAAGGGTGGCCCGCGGGCCACCTTCATCAGAAACACCTGTGGGGCTTATTAAACCCTGACCCGTGGGCTCCACTCCAGACCTGCCGTCAGACGCTCTGAGGGTGGGGCCCAGGAATCTGCATTTTCAACAAACACCCCAGGCAATTCTAAGCACTTAAGTTTGACACCCATTGGGTCTGCAGCAGAGTCCAGACTAGCGCCCCTCGCCTTGCGATGAAAACGTGCATCCTGGGCCTCTAAATAGGGACTCACCGCCACAGACTTGACCTGCTTCCCGGCAAACCAGCGCAGCTGCTGCAGGACGCCTCTGAACACCTCTGTTTTCTGGGTGGGAAGCTTAGCAACCGCATCGAGCAGGGTCTTTTCCACAGAGTTCAGGGGGCAAGCGGCTCCAAAGGAGATACCTGGGAACACACGCTCGGAATGACAGCGATCCCCGTCACAGCTCGGAAAGCACTTCCATACACAGCAGCCCCAGTAAGGCTAAACCTGGACGCACATCCTTGTATGGATGAGGAAATTAAGGCCCAGAGAGGTCAAGTGACCTGCCCAATGCCACACAGCTAATAAAAGAGCCAGGACTCAACCCCAGGCCTGTTGACCCTACAACCAGAGTGCTCGTTTCTCTAAACCAGTGGTTCTCAACTCAATAAAATCAGATCTCTGAGGGTGAAGTCTTGGCATTTTTTTTAAAAAGCACCCCAAAACTCCCCCCACCTACCCCCTATTTCCATGAGCGATTCTAACATGCAGCCAGGATAGAGAACAACTACGGAGAATCCCAAGCCCCTTGCCCGCTGGCACCCTACCATGGATGCTCCGAGGAGGAGGGCACTGAGGGTGCCCACTTTCCATGCAGGGCGGCTCCCAAAAATGCAGGCGGCAGCGGGAGCCAAAGAGGAGTCTTTCCTGGCACTCATCATCCCCCCGCATGACCCACCTCCAGCGTCCCAGCCCCTCTGTGGGCTCAGGCAAACTTCCCCTTACCCTCCAGTCCATGCTCCACTGAATTCAGCTCAGGGATCCAGGTTGGGCAAATGATCACAGGAAACAGCTGATTCTTAAACTTCATCTCAATGCCTGAAGAGAAACAAGAAGCCTCAAGTTATAGGTCTGTTGTTTGTCAGCAGGGCATTTTCCCCCACCACTGCACACAGGACGGAGGACATATTCACGATCGTGACATGCTCCGTGGGTGACTTGGGGTGATTAGGGGTGCAGTGGACGAGATGTGAGAGTGCAGTTTCCGCACAGTCAGCCCGAAAGCTATGTCCTTCCCTCTCAGAAAAACCCATCGGAATTCAAATAAGATGAACTCGAATTCGTGTGTGTGGCGTGCGTGTGTGCGTGTGCGCATCTGTGCGTGCGTGTTTAATCACCATATTAGAAAAAGGGCATGAAAATAAGTCAGGAACGCTTGTAAGCACTTTACATATTTTAACTCAGTCCTCACAATAACACTATGAAATAATGTGATTTTCTCTGTTTATAGATGAAGAAACTGAGGCACAGGGAGGTTAAGTTTCTCGCCCAAATTACACAGCTAAGAATGGGCATATTTCAGTACCGGAGCAATTATTAGAATCGGGATGTAACAGTAATATGATATGAAAGTCTAACATTCAGACAAAAAAGGAAAATTGACTGAGAGAGAAAACTTCAGATTGGCCTCTCAGTCCCCAATATCTGTCTGAGTTCTTAAGGTGCGTGGCTTGGTGGGACCGAATGTCTGTGTCTGGTTTCTGTCCTTCTGGTGAATCAAGTAAGAAACCTCTGCGAACAGACCTGCTTCTGTTCCTCAGACCCAGTTAGCACAGCACCTCTCCCAGCCCCACCCACAGGGCTGTAGATGGAAAAGGGTAAGAAGGAAATGTCTGTGCATCAACCCCCCCTCCCGCCCCTTTCCGGTGCTGTTGAGGGTCTCTGAAGGGAGGCGCAGGCTTTGAGGAGTCTGGCCTGTTTGAATATCAGCTCGTAGGGCAAAGAATGCAGATGGAGGCACTAAGTGGCTCATTTTGATAAGGGGTTCTCCATGACCCACCTCCCCCGACGTCATGGCGGTAGGTGGTTACACTGTGCGGAGTGCGTGTGAGGGAGGAGGTAGAGCTGTGGCATGGTCTTAAGCAATTATTTCTAACTTGGAGCTTATAATATCTTTGTGAATGCCTTTCTCTTAGAATCTAACTGAGCCCAGGACATTGTGTGACTCGTGGCGAGGAACATGTCATATACCCAAGGACGCCAAATATTCTTCCCCAGTCATTCTCCACCTTAACTCATGGGACCCTGGGCCCTTGGGTCATGGCTACACAGGCCAGCCATTGTGGTCATATCACCTGAGGCACGTCTCACAGGCCACCCTGCCATCCTGATGTGTCACATTACTGCAGCAGGGGACTCTGTACAGCACCTGTGCTCACAAGGGTGGCCCAGCTCAGCACTTCACCAGCACAGACCTGAGCCAGGCCCTCCTCTCTGTGGCTGAAGAACCAACAAGAACCCAGGGCTCGGGGGGGTCCCTCCAGAGCCAGAGCCAGGAGTCCCCCACAAGCTGGACTTGGCTGCTTAAAAGCATGTCAAGTTCCCCCAAACCAGGGTTCCTCTGAGGCAGACCTCGGCTGTGCCACCATCCTCTCCTTGGATCCCCACTGGGCTTGGGTCCAGCCAAGTGGAAACAGGCCAGGCCAGGTTTATAAATGGATGGAGACGAGCAGGGACCTGGGCACCTCTGCTCCTGTGTCTTCAAGGACCAAGCCCGAGAGCTGCACATCTGGTGTCTCCTTGACCTGTTCACGTACTGCGGGCCTCACGTCCCAGGCGGTGGCACCACACGGCAGGTGGCCACAGTCATGGGCAACACAGCACAGTCACACTTGGACATCTCCTCTCCCTAGCCTTACCACATCACCCCCAGAAAAGGGAGGGCAAGAGAGTGACCTTTATGGAACCCCTAGTGTCCGTCAGGCACCGGCCCAGACACGTAAGCTACGTTGCTCCCTCCGCCTTTAGACTGGGAGACGCTGAAGGGAAGGGGTCTGGTCCAGGTGATCTGGGTACCCCTGGCTCTCCCAGAGTACCCAGCGCAGAGCAGGCTCCCTGTCAGTGCTTACGGAGAACAGTCAGCAAGGGGTTCAGTTAGTACTCAGGACAACCCTTAGAGGAGGTGTTATTACTCCACATACGAAATGGGGAAGTGAGGGCAAAAGAGGACACACAGAGGACACACAGCCACAGGGGCTGAACTGGGCAGATTGGCCCAGGGCCACCCCGCGCCCTTACCAATCTCCGTGTTCCCCACCACCAGCTTGGCCTCAGGGTGCTGCGCTTTGAGGTCCAGCAGCTCGTTCAGGGCCGAGGCCTGGATCCAGGTCACACGCTCCCCTTCAAAACGCAGCTGCTTCTGCGGAATGTCTTTCAGCCTCTGGAAAATGAAGTTTTCTTACCGTGCTGCCTCTTCCTCCCCACTGCCATCCCCAGGGCCATTGCTTTAAGTTTGCAAGGGGATCAACTCTACTATGGATTTGTTTAATACTGAATTCAGACGGAAAATGCATGTCAGGGGAGAAGGGAGGGAGGACACCATGTATCGAGGCAGGAATTACGTTGCAGCTCTTTTATAGACATTATGTCACTTAGTCTTCAGAAGATCTCAGTGAAGGAGGCACTGTTAGTCTCGTCTTTTACAGGTGAAGGAGGAAGCTGAGGATCAAGGTTATGGGACCTGCTGAAGGTCACTGCCGCAAGGTGACTTGAACTGTCCCACACTGTCTCCAGAAGGTACGGGAGGCGGATCAGAAGGGAATGCAATGGAAGGTTGGCTCTAGAGCATGAGGGGTGATGTGGGGCTGAGAGACAAAACTCCCAAATCAAACTGATGGTTTTTCAAGGTTTCACAGAGAAAGAGATGCTGGCGGTCTGCTGCAAAGCCATTCATTCTGGCCTGTTGAATTCATAAAGCAGCCTTCATGAGCTCACCACCCCCTGAGAAATCTGCACTTGAGAAACCTTGAGAGTGGCTTGATTATTATTATTATTATTATTATTTTGGTCATGATGTTGGAGTGAAGGAGCAGAATCATCAAGGTGAGAAAGTAGGCATGAGAGGTGTCCTTAAGACATGGCTGCAGGCCATGGATTGTGTCCTTTGAACACAGCTCTCTTTGTTTGTTTGTTTCGTATATAAACGGACTGCTAACAGAAAGAAGAATGGACTGCTTGAGGGCTTATACATGAGATTTAGCCAGGAGGTCACCAAATACTTCTGGAGCTCCTGTTACTGTACACAGTGTGCCAAAGGGATCCACTCCCTCAGAGTGACACGTGTGAGAAGGAGAGAAGTGTGGGTCCCTGTGGGAGTATGTGGCACAGGGACTTGACGTTTGGGTGTCAGAGAAAGGAAGGGAAATTCAGGCTGAAACCTATAGGACAAGGAGGACACAAAGGCCCCAGTGGGTACGAGTGGGACCCAACAGGTCTCCAGGGGCTCATGGGGCATCACCTACCAGCAACTCTGGGGGAAAGATGGGTTCCTGGGTGGGATCCAGGGGCATGAATTCCTCTGGGTTGAATAAAGATGGCGAGAGAGTGACCTGCTGGAAAAGGGGACAGATGAGTGATACACTGTCCCCTCCTTTATAATGCCCCATAGGGCTGGCCTAGCCCTCTGTCCAAGCGAGCTCATCCACAGACCCCAGCAGGCTGGTGGAGGAGCTGGTATCTCCTGGGAAGAAGGGACAAGGAGGTGTTGACAGAGGATCCAGGGCTAATATACACATTCACCACCCTCGTGGCTGGGGTGTAACCGTTTCCTCTTCCAGCCACCACTGCCCAGAGTGTGGAGAGAGCCCACTGGCTCCTTTGATCTGAGGTTGGCCCTCAGGCTTCCAGGCTGAAAAGGATCCACTTACCTTGTGGTCTTTCTTCTGGTTCATGCAGCAGTTTGGGCTGTTCCCATTTCCTCCACAGCATCCACCATCCTAGAGAGATGACCAACATTCACGCAAAGATATTTGCAAAGAGTTTTCACAGAAGCTAAAGAACCTAGATGATTACTATCAAATGAGATCTGGGTATGATACCTATTCCAGCATCAAAAGGAACAGCAGATACCCCACCCCATCCCACTTGCCTCTGCACAGAGGAAAGGCCTCTGCTTTAACTACTTTCACTTCATTAACGTAGATTAAATAACTTGAGAATAAACAAACAGGACCTCTCCTCCTGGAAGCAGCAGGGATATTTAATTATGAGAAAATTTCTCCATAAAAGCTAGTCCTATTTTATCAAATCATCTCTTTGTGCCCACATTCCTCTTCAGTACTGCTTCCTGAGGAGGCCTTCGTTCCCCGACCAGGGATCGAACCTGTGTCCCCTGCAGGGGAAGCACAGAGTCTTAACCACTGGACCACTAGGGAAGCCCCTCATGCCTCTACTTCTAAACCATCAAGTTCTATGGGAATGGGCTGGGTGCCTCCCAGGCTGGAGTCTTTGGGGGGCTGCTGCCAAAGACGTTCAGGACCAGCGGTGTGCCCAGCCAGTGTGCCTGATGGCCTTCCCACGCCTTCTCAGGCACTTCTCGCCAGAAAGCTCACTCTTTATTCCTCACTGCAGGCCTGTTCTGGAGGATATGTACAGGTCTGATGACTCATCACCTATGGGGAAAGGACTTGCTCAGGACCTCTTGGGGTGCCAATGGCGGAGCACAGAATAGAGCCCAGATTGCTACCTCCCAAAACCAATGCACTGAACGTGGGGAAGGGTGTGTTCACCTGACTCATCTAGCCCAAGGAGGCAGGAGTCTCAGCTCAGAGCCCCAGAAGACACTACAGAATCGTGGAGTTGTGCTAAGAGGCAGAAGTGGGGGAACTCCCAGGCATAGACCTAGACACATTTCCAGGGCAGCCATTCCTGGGGGAGCAGGCTGGGAGTAGCCCTTCCTTACGTGAATCATGGAAGACACCACTCATGCCGACATTTCCCAAAGGGTGAGTCACCACCCACCAGTGTCCCCGAGGAAGTTCTCAGAGGGCCAAGGAGGCCGAAGGTGTAGCCTCTGAGAACGTGCAAGCACTGTCAGACTTGCCTCAACCCCCCTGCACGTGCTGCCCTGCGTGCAGACCCCTCTTGCATTCACTGCTTTGCCACTGGATCTCAGAGCGGCTCGGTCTATTTTATACCGCCACACCACCACCTTGCCCTTCCCCTCTGAATCTGGACAGAACGGAGAGGGCCTCTTCGCATCTCTCTTTTTGGAGGAGTGATGTGGAAAATTACCAGGCCCTGCGTACAGTAAGACAACAGCCTCCCTCACCTGGTCCTTGTGGGGAAGGATGTATTTCGCAAAAGTGGATTATTCAGATAATGAAAGTGTCAGCACTTTCTTACTTAGATCTTTTTCCTTGATAATTCATTGATGTGTTTATGACATAAATTACTATAACGTACAATAATGTGTCACTGCCCTCAAGGCGTACTGCGGTTAGATAAGGCTAGGGTTTTTCCCCAGAGAGATTTCCACTTTTCTCAGTAGGCTAAAACTACTGGGCTTATTTTTATGGTTCCCCCATTTCCTTCCTTGCTGCTAGGTGAATGTTGTCATTTCCTGCTGTGAACAGGCTGCCTCGCTATAGCATGCTCTTCTCACCCTCTTCCGGTGTGTGCTATGGCCATGAAAACTAGATAGATGAGCTTTTTAGAACTGTGTGTAAGGTAACAATTAAAAGGCTCTGAATAAAGGCCTTGGGGGCCTCCAAGGAGTAACATGCATGAGCTTCTGAGCACATTCTGTGAGCCAGTCATTTTGCCTGCTTGGAGGACCCAGGTCTACTCTGCTCTACACTGCCAGGCAGCTGGAGTGAAGGGGGTGCAGCTCACCTCCTCCCATGGTGTCACAATAGACTCAGGAACTGTGTAAATGATGATAAAACTCTGACCCACAGAAGGAGTATAATTGTCAGCTACACTCAAAAGCCCTTCTCTCTGGAGAAACTAGGAGAGGTGGTCAGATTGTATTTCTTTGAGGAGCCTCCTATGAAATAAGTACATGCACAAGATTAACAATCCCTGGTTCTCAGGGAAGCCTAAGCAATACATGAAGATCAAATATGGGTAATGGAAAAAATGTACCAGCATCATAATTTATGTTGCCATTTACTGAAAATGTAAGATGTGCCAGGCATTGTCCTAAGAGCTTTACAAGAAGTCTTTTCCACAAGCACTGTAAGGTAGGTATTATTACAATCCCCGTTTTAGAAACAAGGAAATTTGCCCAATATCATGCATCAGTTAAGGGATGAAATGGGATCTGAACCCAGGTCTGCAGATTCTGAATCTAAGCTTTCAATCATTTTCATTTAAACCCGTACCTCCCGGTTCCTCATCATCAACAGCATTCACCAGGATGTGGCATTTTCCATCCGTAGAGGCTCCACCTCCATCTCCACCCTTTTGGGCTATTTGGACACAATACTCCTTTGTGTACTGTACCAACTCTAAAAGTCAGTGAAAGGTACAGGAGTCTGTGGCTCTCCCCTTAACCCAGAATCAAACTGAGACGAGACAGTTTGATTGGAGTCAGGATCAACTTGACCCAGCTGGGAAATCAGGTAAAATCTGGGGAGATTAAGCCAAGAAAGGAGAAGCTAGCCCTCCGTCCTCCTTGCCAGATGACAGGTGTGTGTCTGCATTTATGTAATCAATGCTCATGCACCCCAGCTGTGGTTTCTCACGCAGAGGAATATGAACACTACAGGGGTTCACACACTGTCTGAAGATCTAATTAGCAGTTTCATAAGCCCAGCAGAGTGCCAGCTGCAGAAAGCAGCGGGGACAGGAAAGGAGGAGGGACTCGAGTGCTGAGTCAGGCTGGGTTGTTATTAAATGCCACGTTCAGCACCTGTGCCATGGGCTGAGCATGCCAGTCACCAAGGAAGGATGCCAAGCCCGAATGCCCTGGAGGAAATTAGCTCTTAGGCAGCATGTCTCTTCCAGTAACCAGTTCTCCAGGCCTTCCCTGGAAGAAAAGTCTCCGTGCTATTGATGAGAACCACCACCTCCCTCCAACCCCCGGAATAAGAACGGCACAGCCCAACGCCCCTGCCAGGTACCTGCGGCAGAAGGACCCGCCAGCTGGCCACATGATCATTTTTCTCTGTAACCCAGAGGCCCATGGCGTCCCTCCCAGCTGTGATTCCTGAGTGTTGCTGCTTCAGGAGCAGGGCCGTTGCTGTCCCAGGGCCCCAACTCACCTTGGCGAAGGTCCGGAAGCCCTGGAGGATGGGTCTGTAGCCTGTACAACGGCACACGTTTCCTGTGGGCCAAGGAAAAAGCTGCAGTGTCAGCGCAGGCCCCGGAGCAGCTAAGGGGTTTGTGGCTTTGCTCCCAGCTCAGTTAAATGCTCTCTTTACATATTCTATTTTCTTTGCTTGGAATGACCCTCCTCCTGCTTGTATCCCTGACTTCAAAACATCTACCACTTCTTCCAGGAAGCCTTGCTAGAATGCCTAGACTGAATCAGGTGCTCCTCCTAAGTCCTCTCATGGTGCCTAGTCATAGCTTTATCAGTGAGCTTATCAAACTACATTATAAGCTCTCTTCCCCTTCAGAGTACAACCTCCTTGAGAGGAGGGACTGTGTCTTTCATCCCTGTGTCCCCTGTACCCTGTATTGTGCCTGACATATGATAGGACTTCATATAACTGACTGAATAAATGATGCATTAAAATGGATTGAATGAATGGGGAGCCTTCTCTACTCAATTCAGAGGAACAGATACCAGGCCCAACCATCTGGGCCCATTCACAGAAGGCAAAGTGGGAAGCCAGTCCCTGCTCAAGGCTCAGAGTCATGGCCTCCTTCCTCATAGGTGGCCCTTGCCCTGCAGAACCCTGCTCTGAGGAAGCAGTAAGGGAAGACGCCATGTCATTAGCTTCTGTGCGGTTTCCCAGACGATCTCCTCCCACTCCGGCCACTCATGGCTACCCCGTCCTAGCACGGGGTGAGAGCAGAAGACACCTCATGAAGATGAACACTAAGGCAGGAGACCCCAGAAGGTCTCCAAACCACCCAAGTGTTCTTCCAATTAAGAAAGCACCACCCTTCCAGTCAATCGTAACCAACATGGTGGGATGGCCTGAGCCTTTCCCTCAAAAGGCGGTGCCTGGAACTCCTACTCCACGCCTGGCATCCACTCTGGCCCTGCCCTGCCCTCCTCAGAGCCCCACTTGCCACTCCAACTCCCAGGCCCTGCCTCAAGGCCCATACCCTGGAAGGCATCCTCGATCTCCTCAACAGCGGGCTCGGGCTGGTTCCGAAGCAGCGTGTACATGCTCATGACGATGCCGGGGGTGCAGAACCCACACTGGGAGCCGTGGCTTTTGGCGATTCTCTCCTAAAAGGGGCAGATGACGTAGACACCTGTGTTGCAGAACCCCTCCCAGGCTCCCTCATGACTCAACTGGAGCCAGCCCATGTCGACAGGCAGTGTAGGGCAGCAGACCGTATGAAGTCAAATCGTAGTGCCGCCACTTCCCAGCTGTGACCTTGGCCAGGTTACCAAGCCTCACTAAGCCTTGTCTATATGTTTAGGACCATCCTAGCACTTAGAGGATTCAGTGAGGTCATTCACGTAAAACTCTTAACATCATCCCTGGCATAGAGGAAGGAGTCAACCCATGGGAGTTATAAATAGGACAGCCCCCTCAAAGAACAACGACTGTTAAAGCCAGAGGGGCTTCTCACCCTTCATTCCCTTCACTAGAGAGAGGAGGAAGCAGGCTCAGAAATTTAAGAGATGTATGCAAGATCACACATGGTGAATGCAAGAGCTGTGTCAGGTTCTTCTAACTACACTACCCCACAATCCAAAATCAACCAAATGAATGCATTTTATTCCAAATTAGAATGCTGCTGTATTCTTATGTGAAGGCAATCCTTGAAGTCCAATGGGTGGGGACTTAAGAATTGGGAAATGTGTGATATAGAATTCACTAAAAGCATTGAATGTCACAGAATTTTCATTCAAACCTGCAAGATTTTTATTACAAGGAGATTCTCCTCATCTACACTATTTTTTAATCTCTGGGAATCTCTCTTGGAACTTACATTAAGTAAAATTGCTAGAATGTTGTATCCCCAGTGCCTAGCATGGATAGTCATTCATTTAACAGATATTTACTGAGAAACTATTATGTACCAGGAGTGGTAGAGGCACTGGGGACAGAGAGTGAAGAAGAGAGATGAGGTTCCTGCTCTCATGAAGCTCATATCCTAGTAGGGAAAATACTGACAAAAACAAAGAAGAAAATTTGAGGTGGAGGTCAGTGCTATGTAGACAATTAGTACAAGAGGACATGACCCAGAGTGACTAGTGGCTATTTGGAGTGGTTAGAAAAGCCACTCTGAAAAAGTGACCTTCCAGTTGAACTTAAAGATGTAATTTGGAGCAGGGAAGGGTGTATCCCAGGCAGAGGGAACAGCAAGTGCAAAGGCTCTGAGCACAGACAGTGCAAAAGTCTGATGCGCTAGAGCTGCTGAAAGGCCAGGGTGGATGGAATCCTGGGACAAGGGATGTCAGCTGGGGGAATAGGCAGCAGCCAGTCCATGCAGCTCTTCATAAGCCAGGGTTAGGGATCCGGATTGTTATTCTGGGTGTGATAATGAGAGGCCTTTAAGGGGAATTTCAGCAGGGCTTGATATGATCGAATTTGTGTTTTTAAAGAATCACTCTAGCTGCTGGGCAGGAAACAGCTGTAGGGGCAAGAGAAGAAACAAGGGAACAGGACACTAAAGTGGCCTAGGCAAGAGGGGATAGTGACTTGAACCAAACATTAATGAGGGAAACAGAGGAAAAAAATGAAGATTTCATTGTAAAGTTTGGAGGTAGAGTAGTTACTACTTCTGGATGGATTGGGTGTGGTGTATCAGAGAAAGAATCATAGGTGACTCCTAGATTTTTATCTTGAGCAATTGGGTGGATGCTTTTGCCACTGACTCAAATGGAGGAAGACCAGGGAAGAAAGAAGTTGGGGGGAAAATAGGGTTTTGTTAAGCTTGAGGTTAGACATCCATCTAGCGATTTAAGTAGGCAGCTGGAAAGAGGAGTCTGGTCTCTGAGGAGAGGTCGAAACTGAAGATACAAAGATGATGCATTCACATGTAGATGGCATTAAACTCACCTCAGGAGAGTGTGAAGGCGGAGAAGAGATGGGGCCCAGGCCAGAGCCCAGGGTGCTGCAGCAATTAGGCACTAAGCCGAGGAAGAGCTGTACATGGTGCAAGCATGGAGGTAGGAGGAAAATGAGGGAAGTGTGGTGTCGTAGAAGCCAAGAGAAAAACATAAATGGACAAGAGGAAGTGGAATCTACAGCTTATGTGGAGCCAAAAGAAGTACGTCAGGAATAAGGATCTATTCCATTGGAAAGAGAGGGTTTTCACCTCATTGTATGGATATGATCCCTGTGTTTAAACGGTTCTTTCTTTCTTTCATCTATGTTTCAAAGAAAAGTACAAGCCCCCATTAATCTTCTCACATCTGCTGCAGGTTGGACAAGTTTAGTAATCTGCCCTTTTCCTGCCTAGGAAGCAAAGACATGGCAGTGAAGCAATACCACCCCACCACGCTCTGACCCCACATGACTGGCCCAAGATGCTCCCTCCAGGGAGTATAATTAGTTTGCTAATTATACTTAGTTTGCTAATATATAATTAGTTTGTATAGTATAATTATAATATATAATAGTATAATTAGTTTGCTAATTATATAACCGGCGATCCTGACTCCAGACTCACATAAGGGGCACAAGGGTGGCAGGATCTGAATGACACAGTCAAGGGAAGATTAAGAAAAGGGCCTGGCTCAGGCACCTTCCATGATGCAATCTCCTAAGGACCTCCTGCCTCAGTTTCCCTAAACGTAAGCACCGGGAACAGTGGCTTTTCCTTCCCACTGTGCTCTGCTCCCACATGGGCTCCATTCCACCTTGTCTACGAGCATCCTTTCTCTCTCCTCAAACCCCTCAGATTACTGCCCACTCTTCCCCAGTGTTCCCAATTTCGCTTCATCCTCAGGTGCCTGGTACCATCAGGGAGAAAGCACTGGTCAGACACCCATGTGTCTCTCTTCTCTGACTCAGCCCTTGCTAACCTCCATTTTAATGAGCCCATGTCTATATGATCCATGGGTGAAAGGTGAGAGGTGCAATGAAATTACCACTGGAGGGAGCAGGGAGTAGGTGGGCTTTTTTATCAAGGGGCACAGAGCATTTGGAATCTTCAATCTGAGACGGCAAGGGGGCTTCCTAAGCACGCTCGGGCACAAGGTGAGGAAGTCCCCCTGCCCCTCCTCCCTCCAGCTCTGACACAGCTGGACTTACCAGCCGCTAGATCCAGTTGACCTCTTGGTTCCCACGGGGCATGCAATGTCACCATCCACCCAGACACAGGAGGGAGCTCCAGGCTCGGGTGCCTCCACTTTCTGCCTCACAGCCATCCCCTCACCTCCACGAGGATCTGGGGAGGTGGCTGGGCCGGAATGCCACCTTTGCCCGGGAAGTGACACTCAGCCCAACAACCCAGAGCAAGTCTGCAGCCTTGGTCAGAGCCTCTGGTTACCTGCACAGGATGCAGCCTCGTCTTGGTACTTCCGATTCCTTCCACAGTTGTCACGGCAACATGGTGCAAGGAGCAAATGGGGGCCAGGCAGGCATTGGCAGAAAAGTGACTGGAACCCAAATTAAGGTCATTCCATCGACCACTCAGGTCATCAGAGCAGACCTGAGTGCAGGGTCTGGGAGATCTGTGATGCCTGTGTCACTTCTCTTCACTCTATATTATGTTCTTGTCTTTTCTACAGGTGTCCTCACCTCTCTACCCAAGACTCTGTGCCCGAGCTCCTCCAGCATCCTGTGGAGTCACACATCGGTGCACCCTAGGCCTCTGAGCTGGAGCATGGGAGCCAGGGTCACTTTCAGCTGCCTCTTAGCCTGACACTGGAGGCTGAGTCAAGAGGAAGCTTCTGGCAGTTTCCAGGCCCAAAGTGTGCTCCTCTCTCTGCAGGGCCCATCCTTAGCCACTTCAATTTCAGAACCTCCTGTCACTTTTGCTTCTCTGCTTTCACTCACCTCCATTTCTCCCATTCCTCTGTGGGGAGAGGGAGGGGAAATCCCCAGGTGGCATGGGACACCAACCCCTTAGAAATAGCTTCCCCACATCTATCCCTTTATTCATCGCTCATTCACTCATACAGACAACATCAGTTACTGAAGGCCAACCAAGTGCCAGGCACCCTGCCGAGGGCTGAGGAAATAAAGGTGAATAAGATGGAATCTCTGTCCTCTAATAGCTTGCCTTCAACTCAGGAAAACAGAAGCCAGTGTGAAGATGAAATTTAAATATTTTACGGTAAGTGTTTCAGGAGGGCTATGCACAGGGCACCATGGCACCAGCAGAGACAAGGGGCACCTAACCCAGTCTTGGGAGGTCAAGGAAGGCTTCCTAGAGGAGGTGATATTTTGCCCAGTCCTAAAGTGCTAGTGAGAGATAGCCAGGTAGAGAAGTCCTTGAGAAAAGGACATTCAAGACGGGAAACAGCTTCTGCAAAGACCAAGAAATGAATGGGCATGGAGCATTGGTAGTTCACAACTGTTTCTGCATGAACAGAGTGCTGGACCCGTGAAGAGAAAGAAAACTGGAGAGGAAAGATGGGGAAAATTGCAGGACCTCACATGTTGAACAAAAAGATTGGACTTTAATTTGGGGGCAATGGAAGCCTACTGAAGGATTTCATGGGATGTGATATAAGTCTGAATCTTAAAAAGATGATTTTTTTTCAGCAGTTCAGAATCTTGTCCATATATATTTATAAGCCAGGAAGATACTTCCTAAGACATCATTCTATAATGTCCCTCTTCATGACCAAAGTCTACTTAGAAACACAGGGGCTTACATGTATATGCGCACACGTACACTCACTCAAAAGCTGACCCCTGCATCACGGTCCTCAAAGGCCATCAGCCAGCAGGCAAAGGATACATGATCTTGTCCTGGAGACGATCATACTTGGAAAGCATCACCGTGCAGGCCCCACAGCCGCCTTCTCCGCAGCCCAGTTTTGTCCCTCTCAGCCCCACTGGATGGTCAAGGGTTAAAGAATATGAACTCAGAGAAAAAAAAGTCTTTGTTGGGCTGCTGGGAAATGCCTGGACTGAGCTTCGAGTGAAGAGCCATTCGTCCACACACAGGCTTAGGCCCCTCAACCCGAGAGGCAGCAGACCCACACGGCCTCCCACTCAGACGGGATCAGGGAATGAGGCCAATTCCATTGTACAGAAAAGGAAAGGCACCAGCACCCATGTGTCAACCCCTGGGACTGGAGTTCCACTGTCTCTAATCCTGGAGATTTTCTTGGGATCAAGGTCTTCTAGGTGTGGTCTTAACAGTCCCCCAACCCTGTGGTCAGGCACCTCAAAGACTGAGTATGTGGGCCAGCCCTCACATCACCCCAGCTGGTCGTGCAAGGAAGCCATTCAAGCCAGCATGGGACTTGCTGAGTTCGGCTTCCCTCATCCCCCTGCCAAACCTTTTGGATTGATGAAGTCCAGGGACCAAAATTAAGGCTGGACCAGGGGCTTCTGAATATCCATCCCATAGGATATGTGAATGGAAATTAAAATGAAGATATTTTTGAGGTCAGAAACCAACATTGGAGCCACCTCTTATATATTGGGGGAAACAAAATCTCTGATACTTTGTGCTTGAAAAGTGCCTAACTAATTAGGGCTATTCTGGAGAACAGCAGTTATGGTGGCCTCTTTCCCGGGGACACACAGGCTCCATCGCTGCTTTTCCCTCAGGCCCACAGGCCTCCAGGCCATCTATCTTCCTACTGAAGATGGAAGGACCTGAGGCTATTATCCCTGGTCACTTCCCTAATTTCAAGATAAAATTAATAACTAACAATGATAAAGGATCTTCTACTTGGAAAGCAGCTATACCCATGGACCCGTTTGATCTTCATAATAATGTGGTTAGCAGGTAGGGCAGGAATTTGTGAAAGAAAGAAAGAGAGAAAGAGAGAGAGAGGGAGGGAGGGAGGGAGGGAGGAAGACAGAGAGAGAGGGAGGGAGGGAGGGAGGGAGGAAGACAGAGAGAGAGAAAGAGAGAGAGAGAGAGAGGGAAAGAGAGAAAGAAAGAAGGAAAGGAAGGAAGGAATGAAGGAACGAAGGAACGAAGGGAGGAAGACTGAGACCCAAGATGTAATGTGCGCCCTGCAAGATGACAGCCACTTGTGTTACCTTGAGTGTTAGGGAACACGGCCATCTGACTCCTCCCCCACCATGCTGCTGCTTCTTTTAAAGCACAGCTGGGGAGGGATCTCTAGATCTCGAGTTATTCTCTTCACTAGTCTGGACGTATGAGATCAGCAGTTTAGACCACTCTAGGGGCACGTGAGGACGAATGGAAGCAGCCCAAAGTAGTCTAGAGGTCTTCTGCTAGCCTGGGCATCCTTCTGGAAGCCAGGGTAGAAGTCAAGGCTAGTGTCTTCTCTCTTGCCTGGAACTCCCACAGATCAACTCTCAACACAGGCAGCAGCAAGCCACGAGGCCTTCATATTTACATGCCAACTTTCAGGTTTGGAGTTCATTAGAGATTTGGCCTTTAAACCAGCCAACTGCTATGATCAGGAATTTCTGAGGCTGTCAGGTCTTCAAAACTGTACTAGAAATCTAAAATTGATGTCAACAATCTCTAAGAGTGAGCCTCTCTTTCCAGACCACCCAGGTAGATGGGCTGGAAATGGAGTCCCATGCAGTCCCCTGATCCCATTGAGTGACTCCAGGTCTACAAAAAACACCATCAGGTCCATGTGCTGTGAACCTCCAGACCTGCCCCCACCAGGTCAAAAATCCAGGACAAAGTACACTAGAGCCAGCCACTATCTGATAGGAGGTGAAAGAACCAGAGGCAAGGCCATGGATTCCAGGCTGGCTTCTGAGGGTGCTGAAACGATCCTTTGTTGTTCCAAAGTATGTCACTGCAAGGAGCCACCAGACGTCCCTGCCTCTGGGAGCCACAAGGGTTTATAGACAGAGGTCAGGATGAGTATCATTCTACAACAGACCCCTAGAGAGTTTCCAGTGTGGGTGGGAAGTTCAGAGCATGGCTCCCAGCTTCAGTCCAGGTCTGCCAGCATTTGCCCAGAACACACGAGGGGGAGGTGTGTCCCTTAACACATCCAGCCTCGCTTCCTCCTCTGTTAAAGGGATCGCTGTGAATCAGTGATATAGCCTACATAAACCACCTTGAACTCCACCCATATGTAGTCAGTGCCCATTAATGTTAGCTCCTCTTCTAGCTTTACTGCTGGTATTGTTCCAGGGCCTCAGAATACTTTCCTACTGGGAAAGAACAAAAGGGATGGGGGATCTTACAGAAGCACTCCCCACTCTGGGAGCACAGCAGTACCCCAACCCTGCTCAGGAGTCCCCCACCCCATGCTTCCCAGTGCCTGCCATTCCCACAGTGGATGGTGCCTCTACACGATTCCCACCTCAGGCATCCTTTTCCCCAAAAAATACCCCTTCCCCTGACTTTCTCTCCACCTTCGCAGAGCTAGAAACCCTGCCTGGGAAGCCCATTTATGTATTAACAAAGGTCTGCTGAGGCAGGCTCTGCTCCTCCTGGGGGTGGGGGGAGGGGAATGACCATGAAGCTTGCCAGAGCTAAGGAGGGTCTTTTGGAGCTGCTTGTTTTACAGGCCCAGGGTAAAACCTTGGCATTACTAGAACCTTAAATACAGGAGACTTGAAGAACATCAAGAACCACGTTCTTACTCGGCAGCTGAGAATTTCAGACCCACCAGGCTCAAATGACTTCCCAAGGTCACACAGCTGCCAAGTGGCAGAGTTGCAACTAAGACACAGGGGTCTAGAGCCCTAACCCAGTGCTCCTTCCTCTGCACTTCACGGCCTCCAGACCAGTCACTAGCAAATGGGGTCAGGCCCAGAGAACGAGTCCCCAAGTGCCCCCTCTCCCTCACCCCTGCTCCAAAGTCAGGATACATTTTCTTCTCAGGTAGGCCAAAAGGGTTGTTTCTGGATCTGCATTTTTCTCCACCACCTATAAAAGCAAACACCAAAGAAAACTATATCAGAGGTATACTTAGTCATCGTCTCACCCAAGAATTTGTAGAGTTAATGGAGACGTGCTACATATATCATGAAAACGAAGGTGTTTTTCTTAATTCTATAAGATGAGCATATTAGCTGCAAGCCAAATCGTGTACCTGCGGACATGCTGCAATTGTAAAATTCTGCATTAGTGCTCAGCTCTGGACCCACCACAGAGCACTTAGGTACAGCGCCGGCCGTGCTGGGCTGACCAAGGCAAAGTTCCCTTCAAATTGAACAAGTCATTTCATTTCCAGCTGCTGGAGCACATTTGTGAACGCCAGGGACAGCTGGGAGCGGTGGCATGCAGACCTCTGACTTTGCATCCTGGAGGGTGGACTCTCAGGCGGTGGACGACCAGTCTGCTGGCCTGTGCTCATAACAGAGTGTGGTATGCGTTGGGTCATCACAGTCAACAGCACTAACACAGGTTAGAAATGGAGGAGAAATCTCAAACCAAAGGCCCACAAACAGAATGTTCAATAAGGCAGAAAGTTTGTCCATGAGGTGTGGTGCTAGTTTCAGATGCAAATCATCAAAGGAAATCTATGAAAACCTGTTTCACTTCTCCTCATGCATCATCAAGCCTAAAAGGGTCTGGGTGATTGGGATGATTAAGGGGAGAGAATGTGTGATAAGAGTTTCTTTAGAGAGACCTGCACTATGATTCTCACATCTTCCTAAAGTAGGAGGAGGAGGTATCTGCCTCACACCTCCAACTTCATGAGGGGCTTCTATAGCCCTACATGTAAAGCTCACATGCTGCAGGGCATATGGTGGTCTGGCTTAGCTAAAAGATAGAAAAAGTCTTACCAGACAAGCTGAGGAAGAATTGTAGTGTAGGGATTGATGTGCACTTCCAGAGTTTGGAAGAGCAAAGGATGTGAAATTGTTGTGCCATGGACGCAGCACCGGCCATATGTGAGAGAGAGAACTTGCTTGGAGGTGTTTAAATCATTCCTGAAAGACTGACTACAGGAGGTGATGGGACCTCCATCAGAGTCTGTGTGGAGTGGACCTCCCAAAACCGGAGGCTGAGGGAGAACAGCCAGACTGAGAAAACAGCCCCCTACACCATGTCATGAGACTTGCAGTTGAAGGTTCCCAGCAGCGGGAAGCCATCCTACACCAGCACCTAATAAACAAGAACTTTCTCACTACCCTCTCCTCTCTGTCCTGAAATGAAACTGTGTTTGGCAACTTATAATTGCCCATAGGATTTTTTGTTCACTAAGAGTAATCCAGAAGGTCATGAAACTACCAAAATTTACCCTTGAATAAAGTTGAAAGGAAAGTGGAAGATAAAATTAATTTTCTTTTATGATTATACCCCACAGGTACAGCTTGTTCAAATTTTCCTGGTTATAAATTTCACACAAGGCGTTGTTTCTTTTCTCTTGGAAATTAAATCATAAATGCACAAAATAAAAGTCTTTATTACCTTTCTCATAGATGGCAATAAGGTCCTCTTAGCTTACCAAGAGGCTCCTGCCTCCCCTTCCTCCTGCCCTGCTGCTCTCCTTTTATCACATCCCATCAGTTCTCTGCTCAGTGCCTTCAGTGACCTCCCACATATTCAAGGTAGCATCCAAGTTCCTTAGGCTGTCTTTCAAGACCCTTTTCAATGTGTCCCCAGTCTTCATTTTCAGCCTGTTCCCCTCCTGCTTCCCTGCCAAGCTGGTCTTCATACTCCAGTGAAAATACAACTTAAACCTTCTAACTCCTGTGCCTTTGGCCATTCCATTCCTCTTTCACCTGCATCTTGACTTATTAGAAGACCCCAAACACTTCCTTATCACCCCAGCCACAAGTGGTCCAACCTTCCTTGAATTCCTCAGAGAATGACCAGACCACTCTCATGGCATGGCTGCGGTGTTTGTCCCAGCAAACCCCACAGAACCCTCTCTCAAAACGATGCCCAAAGGAAATGTGTATTCTAACAGAAAAACACTGTGGGGAAGTGAGCTTAGGAAATGCTGGGTTAAACAGATTGCTCTGGTAAAACTCAAGCACCAAAACAAATAATAGCCATAATGGATTACAAACCATTAACTAGAATTGAAACTCGTAAGTCCAAACTGATCATTAATAAATAAACAAGTAGGAGAGAAAGGAAAGTTCTTCCTGACAGAAGAATACCAACTAGTGGCCATTTTGGGTGGCCATTTTGTAATTCAGCACAATAACTGATCTGGTCAAGAATTATCAATGGATGCTGCAACTAGCAGATGAAAGTTTGATAATCAAGGTATTTACATAGTCCCAAAGTATCTTCTCACAGATTATTCATTAATTATAAAGGGAAAAGAGTACTCTTACAGTGGAGATGGCAAGATTACTGGTGGACACCACCTTAACTGAGTGATCAAAGTTCACATCACAAATAATGGGGAAAACCGATAACATGTGCTTCCTGATATAATCCACCAAGAAAGACATGTCACTTCTCTGGTATCCTGCCCAAAATGCAGACTCTGAGTCTAATTAGAAGAAAGCACGACAAGCTCAAAATGAGGGACATTTTAAAAAATAATGGCTTGTTCTCTTCAGAAACATCAATGTCACAAAAGAGAAAGGAAAGCTAAGGAGCTGTTCCAGATTAAGGGAAACTAAAGAGATATGACAACTAAGTACAAGGCATGATCCTGGATCCTGGGATTGGGGGGTGAAAGCCATAAATGACTTTACTGGGAAACTTGGAATAACGCTCTGCATAAAGTTTATAGATTAGACTAGTATTATGTTAACACTAGATTTCCTGATTTTTATAATTAGATTGTGGTTGTGTAAGAATACACTTATTCTTAGTTTAAGGGATAGAGAAGTATGATATCTGAAATTTATTTTTTATACTTATTTATTTATTCATTTATTCACTAGGTTGCATTGGGTCTTAGTTGTGGCACACGGGCTCCAGAGCATGCAGGCTCAGTAGTTGCGGCAAGTGGGCTCTCTAGTTGTGGTGCACGGACTCTAGAGTGTACGGACTTAGTTGCCCTGCGGCATGTGGGATCTTAGTTCCTTGACCAGGGATTGAACCTGCATCCCCTGCATTGGAAGGAGGATTCTTAAACACTGGATCACCAGGGAAGTCCCTGATATCTGAAATTTATCCTCAATGGTTCAGAAAGAAAATTTTATACTTTATGTATTTATTCCAATTAATTACATGCATAAATATATATATAATTATGTATTTATATATCTATATATCTATTTATATGCACAGATCTATACACATGTATGTATACTTAAAGAAAGGATGTTAAAGCAAATGTGGCAAAATGTTAGGTGTTGAATTTGGGCAAGTCTATTTAATATTTCTTTGTATTCTTCTTGCAACTTCCTTGTAAATTTAAAATACCTTTAAAGTACAAAGTCTGAAAAATAAGTTTCTTTAGTAGAGGGTTTCTCAGGGTTTTAATATTCATCCATTCATTCTGTCCACATTCATTGGGCACCTACTATGTGCCAACACTATACAAAGTGGTCTAGGAATATCTAAGAAGAGTATCTGGTGGGGATACTTTTCTTTGAAATACATTTTGGAATATGGTACCTTACCTAATCACAATCCACTTTGCCAACTAGTTCATAAACTCCTGAATGGTAAGTGCCTGGTCTTAGAGATTGTATTCCTCCAGTACATATGTGTCCCATAGGCTCAGGCCTCAGAGGAGCTTGTAAATGTTGACAACATGGGTAGGTGGGTGGGTGAGGGAGTGACTGTTGTCTCATCACTGACTGCTGCTTCTCGTGGGGGTCACTCCTGGACACCTTCAGCTGCACCCTACACGCCGAATCTTCCCAGACTCCTCTAGGGGCCACCATCTCCACTAACCAGAGAGTGACTGTTCAGAAAAACAAGAATCCTGTCCTCCAAGAGGATGGTCACTACGGTGATACCAAAATCCTGGGCAGCTCTTTCCCTTCGACTCTGACTCTAGATCAGATGCGGAAACCATAGTCACCAAGACCTGTCACCACCACAGAATGCCCTCGAGGTATTTGATCATTTACATCTTACACCCTCTCCAGGACCACAGTGAGTGAAGACAGAATCCTGGACAGTGGTCCAAAACAGGGAGAGTAGGAAGCTCATATTTAAGAGTGAGTCACTAAGTACCAACAGCTTCTTTGGTAACCTCCTTGCACAATATCTGGTAACAAAAGATCTAGAATATCTTGGGAATAGAATTAGGAAGAAACTTACAGCTGTCTTTATTTGACTGGGAATTCCCTCGCTTGGTCTAGTTTTTATAGCGCTGCTTTCACCTCATCCCTCCTTGCATTGCCTCACCACCTTTCCAGCAGATTCTCAAAAGTCTGCGTGTTTATAAAATTAAAAGCACTGATATTCATCACAGAAACCTGTAGTAGTAGAAGCTTCAAGAGATAGTAGGGTTTGGGCTTCCCTGGTGGCACAGTGGTTGGGAGTCCGCCTGCCGATGCAGGGGACACGGGTTCGTGCCCCGGTCCGGGAAGATCCCACGTGCCGCAGAGCGGCTGGGCCCGTGAGCCATGGCCGCTGAGCCTGCGCGTCCGGAGCCTGTGCTCCGCAACGGGAGAGGCCGCCAACAGTGAGAGGCCCGCGTACCGCAAAAAAAAAAAAAAAAAGAGATAGTAGGGTTTGATTTAATGATACTATCTACAAATTTTAAATTGCTTTCCTAAGGCGAAAATAAAATACATGGGGAAACAATTTTCACCAAACCAGATTCACCTTGAAATGCTCACTTCTAGATCCGGTGCATCATAGCAAACCGTCCCCAAAGAAGAACAGAAGCTTGTACCGTCACACGTGAACTGATGGCTTAATAAATAATCAAACCTTAGAGTGAGACTGTGCCTTGGAAGTCACTGAATCCGTTTGCTCACCCAATATAAAAATTGCTTAGAAAAATGCCATGAAGGTGCCACGTGTAAGTAATGGATGGAGAAAGCCAATTCAACGACTGTTTCTTAAATCTCTACAATGCAATTGCTGAATGTGACAAAGTCGTTGGAATTCTTGGCTGCAAGTCTAACAGCCACCAACAAGGATGATTTGCCCTGCCTCTTAGTTTGCTACCAGAGACCAATTCTGAAAGAAGTCGGCACAGAGAGACAGCTCTGCACCTGGAAGAGCACAGCTGACCCCAGTTCCCAGGGCCACCCAGTGATACCACTCAAACTGAATCCAACAGTCCTGGGAGCACTGACATTGTGGCGGCTCATGGAATTCCCCTGCTACTCATCCAAATATATCCTGACAATTTAAGCACTAGATGCATTTTAGTTCTTGAAAATTGCCTCCCAAGTCACCCAGTTTCTCAACTCAAAATTGCCAATGCTGCAAAACAAATAAAATTGCTCTGACGATGGGGTATAATCATCACTCATGCTGTGCACACGGCCATTCACAATGTGCAACCAAGGCTACCCTTTTACTGTCGCTTTCCTTTCCAACGAGGGAGCTGAAGCAGATGCAAGCACCTCAACACCCGTGTAGGGAGAGCAAGTGGACAGTGGAGACAATGTGATGTGCTTGCCCCCTCTTCTCCCTGCACCTGCATTAAGATCCGCAAAGATTCTCACCCTTCCGGTGCTGCAAGGACTGGTACCCTTATCATAAGACCGCCCTCTGCCCTACCATCCCCACCTTCCCTAGGTCCCTGTGCAGCAATGAAGTTAATCCAAGTGAGCAATTTTTATCAAAGTAAGAGGTTTGCAATATTTATATGTATAACTAAGTGTGGGGGGGGGGGAGAAAAGCGTGCCCTTTAAGAAATAAAAATTGTGACTTGCCACAAGATGTCAGTATATGTCCTCACACAACTTAGCTGTTACATTTACACAGATGAAATATCAGAATCAAAGCTGTGTACATCTTATACCCTGAGATTAGCAAGAAAACACATTCCTGCTCCTTTTCTCAGTAAAGAAAGCAACAAAAGCCTTAGGACACATTTGATTAAACACAGAAATGGAGGTGACCTCCAATCTCACCTAGAGCCCTGCCCACCTTTCTCAGCTTCCTGCCAGTGTCTCTATTACCACGAAGAGGTGGCAAGGAGCACGGGTGAACTCACAGGCGCCTTTCTTCTCGCTTCCCTCCCCATCACTGCTTTACCCTGTGAGTATCTTGACTGTGTTCTAACCCTGAGAAGGTCTTCTTTCCCCAGTGTTACCCCAAATGCAGCAACAGCTTTGAAGGAAGAGAGAGAAAGAGAGAAGGCGAACAAATAAGGGAGAACACAAAAGAGAGAGAACAAGAACAGGTCTTTTCCGGAGGACACACATCCCTCCCGGGGATCAGGGAAACCAGAGAAAGGGTCAGCTTCTGCTTACCTTTTTGCCATTCACAAAGAAAACCAACTCATCTGCTGTCATTGTCACAGGTTGGGGGTCCCTGAACTCCAGGTACCTTATGCCCAAGAGGCACTGCCAGTTATTACTGCTCTGCAACTTGAAAAATACGCCTCCCAAAAAAATGAAATGAAGTCAGCCGATGGGAGGGACCAAGCTCAGAGCTTCGGGGCATGGAGAGTTCTTGGCAAAAGACACCCGTTTACATAATCAAGGAAAATGCAATCACACACAGCAAATCACACCCCCAACACCTGTGTCGAAGAGCACAGAGGAAGACACAGGCAGATATCAGCAAGGAGGATGCCTTGGTGCCAGATGACTGTGGGTCTTAGGAACCACCCTCACAGAACCTGCTTCATCCTCCCACTTGCTGAAGACAGAGAAGGCGGAAGGGCCACGGTCATAGTGACAGTCACGGCAATAGAGGTGATTCACACCCTCCGCGTCTACACTTGTCATTTTACCATTTAGGTTTACAGCAACCCAGACTCAGCACTTACATGCAGGACTCATTCTCCCAGAGCTTGGAGGGGTCTGGAGTCATAAGAGGCAGGGTCCAGTTCTTCAGACGCAAAATCTTGCATTTGACCTCAGCAGGTCTCTTATCACTTTCAGAACGCACTTATTTTCATCCTGTAAATGGGCAAATGAATGACATCAAGAGCAAAAGGCTGAGTGACAAATGATGTATTTTTGGAAGTGCTTTGTAAATAAGCAAACAACCAAAATTTTTATTACTATTGCAAATGTATTCTCAACAGCACAGCAAAAATAATCCTGATAACAAACCACTTTTGAGGTTTTCCTTTTGTTTCTCTCAGGGAAATACCCTTGATTAAATTGTGGGAATAACTCATAAAAATATTTCAAAATACTGTACCAAATAAAATGTGTGTATCTCATAGGCATAGGCCAAATTAATACAGAGCTGAAAACCTTCCCCCATCCAGTCTCCATTAACTCCTGGTATAAACACACATGCATATCACCCACCCAGGCAGCACCAATGGGCTCTAAAGTCCAGCGGCCAACTGCCCCTCCCAACTCTCTCTCTCTCTCTCTCTCACACACACACACACACACACACACACACACATACACACACACCAGCATTCTCTCTGGTCTTCTACGAAGCTAGCCTCTGTGAAGTAGGTCACTTCCACTACACCCCTTGAAAGATATGAGTGGGGAAGAAAGCAGTATTGGGCAGATGTGCTTGGTACAGAAATAATCTAGAGAAACTGAAGACTGCCAGGACAGCCACCATGTTATCAACACGATGCCGCTCTCCACACAGACTTTATTTAAGCAGGAGATGAAATTCCACTCGTAGGGTGGCTAATCATCCCAATTTGTCCCCAACTGTCTTGGTTTTAACACTAAATCCCTGGCAAATCCTTCAGTCCAAGGCAAACTAAGATGATTGGTCAGCATAAAACAGTGGTTCTTAACTGGGGAAGGGGGATCTTCATCCCAGGAGCCTTTCTGGCAATGTCTGGGGATATGTCTTGTTGACAGAAATCATCAATAATCAATTAATAATAATAATAATAGAAGAGAGTTTTATTTGAGCCAAACTGAGGACTACACTCCAGGAGACAGTGTCTCCGATAGTTCCAGAGAAACATGGTTTTCAGAACAGTTTTATATCTTGTCAGAAAAAAGAGCATCTAACACGACAAGAGTACATCCCTTCATGGTTTCAGAAAAGACAGATCAGCACATACACAGCACATTTACTGACAGATCAGTAAAGCCCTGGCACCTAGGAAAGGAGACTTATCATGAAAGGAGTACCAGCACTGGTGTCCCAGGAAGGGAGGCATTTACTATTTATCTTTAAAATGGACAGTTTTACTTCTGGTCAATGCAGCCTTTTCTTTATCAGTTAAAGCAGGTGTACGATGTATATTTAATAGGTCACAAAACAGGCTGTTCTAGTTAGCATAAAGTTAAATCATGTATATGCCAGAATGACTTCCCCATACCTCAATATGTGAACATTTCTTCCATCATTTCTTTTTTTTGATTGAATAAAATCTTTCAAAAGAAAGCAGTGATGACCAAAGTATTTGTCCCTTGATGCCAGAGTGGTTGCTGCCTGTCCAACATGTCCCTCGTGCTAGGACTTCCTCTCTCTTTCTTTTGTCTAGGAAAAGAGTTGCCTAATTATTCTCATTGGGGAGTAATTAATCAACCAAAGTAAACACAGAGGTATATGATGATGGATAAACATAGGGTATATTATCAAGTATATCAAATTTTTGCACAAACTTTATACTTGTGTTTGGGGCAGTCAACTTAGAGCAAACAGTGATACGTGTCATGAGTACCTTGATAGCTAGAAAAAGAATAATAATACATACTACAACAATGACAATCATCTATAAAGCAAATCAGGGGGAAAAAAAGGCCTATTACCGAGGGAAGCTAACCAAAGAGATTATTTAAAGGGTTAGTTTCCCATACATCTTTTAGCCTTTTTGCCTTTTGGGAATTTTTTTTCTAAGTGTATGCCTACTTTTCCACAGGTGTTGATATAAGTGCAACAAGTAATGTGAGCAATAGCACAGCAACTCTTGTTAAGCCAGCAGAAAATCTAAGGCAACCTTGTTATCAAATACTACTTGGGCTGCGGAGTTTAGGGATGTCTTTTGTGCTGCAATGGTTTCCGCAGTGTCCTCAGCTATTTGACCAATGGTGACTGATAGATGTCTGATCAGCTCTCTGCTTACATATACTCCTGCACTATGAATCGAGATTCCCAAAAGACTTCCCCACCAGGTATCTTGGTATCCTGCTAAAATGGATCTCTTGACTCTGTAATGAACAGAGAAAGGAGGTTCATCTATTGCCTTATATAGAAACAATGGGGTAGCATAATGTACCAGTAAACATAATGATTCTATTTGCCAGCTATTAAGACATTTATGTGCCCATCTTTGGGAAAGTGGGTCAATTCTAATACCACATGCAAAGATAAAACCTGGGGGAGCACAAGCAGTCTCAATAATAGCCTTGTTAATTGGAAGTTTTCTTAACATAATATTAAACCACGGATCATTTTTCTTGCAGCTTTTCCAAAAGCTATCTGTATGGCACTTGACATTTAAGAGTAGCTGGCATAATTTACTCGTGCTTTTCTCTTTAAGACACCTGTTAGTTAAGTAAGGAACAAAGTGAAGCAGTCCTAGGGTATGTTGTATCTGGTCTCTAAAGACTGAGGACAGTATCAGACAAGGGATGGACACATTAATATGTTGAAGAATTTGAACCTGAAATGTTAGGCCAGAGAGAGGTCATTCTATATGAGTGGTAATGTTTGGAACATCAGAAAAGTCGGTGACAGGTATTAAGAGGGGCCTAAATCAGTCTTGTATTCACTGAGGAATTTGATGACGGATCCAACAATGTGTTAAATTGCCCTCAGTAACTATACGCTGTGACAACTTTACTAGACAATGTTCTTTTCATCCTGAACATTGGGGCAAAAGCATAGCTAGAAATAAAACAATAATTTTCAATTTGATAGAGAGATAAACATTTGGTAAACAGTTCAATTGAACTGGTAGAGCAAGTCTTACAGGCTTGGTCCAGATTCTTGGGTCCGTTGTCTACCACTGATGTCTTCTTCTCATCTCGGCTTGATGGTACTTGCCTCAGTCAGTGAAAGCCAGGTCAGAAATAGGTGTTAAAGTTCACTTGGGTGGAGGGGACTTTTTAAAATGAGAGATGTGAATCCATGAGTCTATGCCCTTTCATGTGACAGCACGTGGATTCGTAGATAACACCTGATAAGGTATTATCAGGTATCATTATTTTACAACATGGCTTCAAAGGATCTTTTGTTTGATTTCTTTTCCAATGTGCATAATCTCCTGCAGAGACTGGGCACATCGCAGGTTATGGGGCGTCTGACCTTTATCCAAAGACAGATTATTGAGGTAAGCTTCAGAGCCAAGCTTAGAATGTCTTCTAAGTAATTCAGTGAAACTTCACAACAATGTAACACAGAAACAAGGAGCCATCTAGGAAATGAGTCTTAAGCAATAAATATCAAACCTCAATGACAATTAACATCATGAGAACTTAATATACATGAAGGTATATTAATGAAACAATTTCTTCCCTCTAAAATTATCCACATCTCTACAAAATATAGCCAAATTAAGACTAACCTGTTTGCAAAATAAGTCTGGTTTCAATAAACTTGGCCTGACTATTAACATAAGTGTAATTGATCATATGGACTCTTTGAAGTTTGACTTCGTTGGACCTTTTCATAAGGAATCCAAATGGAACTTTCAACAGGCTTCTTAAGGCCAGGAAAGTCATGCCAAGGACTTGTCATCAGATTCTGCCTGTAATACCTACAGGTTTGGTAGGATTTCTCTCTTCTCAAGATCCAAAATATCTTGAGGTTCCTGCAAGTGCCAGGAAATGGTCCTCCTTAATCACCTGGTAAGGTTGCTGGGAACCCGGTAAATAAGGTACCAGCTTGTTTTTTCAAGGGGCTATATGGTTCCATAAAGTCTACCCTAGTTCTTTAAAACTATCTAGCCATACTTTATTTTATGGATATTCCCAAATGTGACATTTCGGTCAAAGCCACAGTAATATTGCCAGTGTTTCCAACTGTGTCTTGTTATAAGGAGAACAAATTCTTATTGAACTCATGCAAATAACTGCATTGCCATGAAAATAAGAATACTCACTAATCAAGAGTTTCCAAATTCTGGTGGGATCAGGAAGGGAGAAAAGGTAAAGGTTTTAACTCTGATTACAAAGGTATAATTTACTAAATTGGTGTAAGTCATAATTAGCTTAGGGGAAATGTTTCCTTATATCTGGAAAATAAAGATGAAAGGCCAGTAATAGTTCAGACAAAAAAATCACTAAAATTACCATTATATTTATCAGTTCATTCAATCCCATATAACTAATTCTTATTCTTCTTGAGTCCAGTATTTCCTTTAGTTCTGTTGATCTTGCCTAATGATTGGAGGCAATAGTGTCAGTGATAATTTCAAGAAGTTTGCAAGGTTTTTGTTAAGGCTCCTACAATTTACACAGGAAAGTGGGTGCATTGATCGCTGGAGACTGCGGAAGGTATACCCCAAGTAGAAAACAT